TAATGTAGTAAATGGTAATGTAGTGTGTATAGTGTATAGTAGTATTGTAGTGTATAGTGTGTAGTGTATAGTGTAGTGTATAATAATGTAGTGTATGGTAATGTCTGTGCGCTACTAACAGCACTTGCCCTACAGCCCTGCTAGAGGCTACCTGGGGGACCTTTGTGCGCTACTAACAGCACTTGCCCCTACAGCCCTGCTAGAGGCTACCTGGGGGACCTTTGCCTGTGTGCTACTAACAGCACTTGCCCCTACAGCCCTGCTAGAGGCTACCTGGGGGACCTTTGCCTGTTGTCTTACCCCCTCAGACTCGCCGCACGTGAAGACGGCGTCACCACCACCAACAACAACAACAACGCCGCCACCACCACCACCACCAACAACTCCACCACCACCACCACCAACAACAACAACGCCGCCACCACCACCACCACCAACAACTCCACCACCACCACCAACAACAACAACTCCACCACCACCAACAACAACACCACCACCACCACCAACAACTCCACCACCACCACCAACAACAACAACACCACCACCACCACCGCCACCACCCTTCCCAGCCGCTCTGGACGTGTGGCCGGGCAACCGCGTGACGTTTCGCTGCCCCCTGCCCACGGAGGGGAGGGGGGCAGGGGGCGAGGGGAGGGGAGGGGGGGCAGAGCGGGCGATGTGGAGGGCGAGGCTGGAGAACGGCTCTTCGCTCATGGTGAGCGGGTCTCTGTGTGGGTCTCTGTGGGTCTCTGTGTGTGTGGGTCTATGGGTCTCTGTGTGGGTCTCTGTAGGTCTGTGTGTGTGTGGGTCTCTGTGTGGGTCTCTGTGTGTGTGGGTCTATGGGTCTCTGTGTGGGTCTATGGGTCTCTGTGTGGGTCTCTGTGTGGGTCTCTGTGTGGGTCTCTGTGTGGGTCTCTGTGTGTGTGTGGGTCTCTGTGTGGGTCTATGGGTCTCTGTGTGGGTCTCTGTGGGTCTATGTGTGTGGGTCTATGTGTGTGTGGGTCTGTGTGTGTGGGTCTATGGGTCTCTGTGTGTGTGGGTCTCTGTGTGTGTGGGTCTCTGTGTGGGTCTGTGGGTCTCTGTGTGGGTCTCTGTGGGTCTGTGTGTGTGTGGGTCTCTGTGTGTGTCTCTGTGGGTCTATGTGTGTGGGTCTATGTGTGTGTGGGTCTGTGTGTGTGGGTCTGTGTGTGGGTCTCTGTGTGTGTGGGTCTCTGTGTGTGGGTCTGTGTGTGGGTCTCTGTGTGTGTGGGTCTCTGTGTGGGTCTCTGTGTGGGTCTGTGGGTGGGTCTCTGTGTGGGTCTGTGGGTCTCTGTGTGGGTCTCTGTGTGGGTCTCTGTGTGGGTCTGTGGGTCTCTGTGTGGGTCTCTGTGGGTCTGTGTGTGTGTGGGTCTCTGTGTGTGTCTGTGTGGGTCTCTGTGTGTGGGTCTCTGTGTGTGTGGGTCTCTGTGTGTGTGTGGGTCTCTGTGTGGGTCTATGTGTGTGTGGGTCTGTGTGTGTGTGGGTCTCTGTGTGTGTGGGTCTCTGTGTGGGTCTGTGTGTGTGTGGGTCTATGTGTGTGTGAGTCTATGGGTCTCTGTGTGGGTCTATGGGTCTCTGTGTGGGTCTCTGTGTGTGGGTCTCTGTGTGGGTCTCTGTGTGGGTCTCTGTGTGGGTCTCTGTGTGGGTCTATGGGTCTCTGTGTGGGTCTCTGTGTGGGTCTCTGTATGGGTCTGTGGGTCTGTGTGTGGGTCTATGTGTGGGTCTGTGGGTCTCTGTGTGGGTCTCTGTGTGGGTCTCTCTATGGGTCTGTGGGTCTCTGTGTGGGTCTATGTGTGGGTCTGTGGGTCTCTGTGTGGGTCTCTGTGTGGGTCTATGTGTGGGTCTCTGTGTGTGTGGGTCTCTGTTTTGGTCTGTGGGTCTCTGTGTGTGTGGGTCTCTGTGTGGGTCTCTGTGTGGGTCTCTGTGTGTGTGGGTCTCTGTGTGGGTCTGTGGGTCTCTGTGTGGGTCTATGTGTGGGTCTGTGGGTCTCTGTGTGGGTCTCTGTGTGGGTCTATGTGTGGGTCTCTGTGTGTGTGGGTCTCTGTTTTGGTCTGTGGGTCTCTGTGTGGGTCTCTGTGTGGGTCTCTGTGGGTGGGTCTCTGTGTGGGTCTCTGTGGGTCTCTGTGTGTCTCTGTGTGTGTGGGTCTCTGTGTGTGTGGGTCTCTGTGTGGGTCTCTGTGTGGGTCTCTGTGGGTCTCTGTGTGTCTCTGTGTGTGTGGGTCTCTGTGTGTGTGGGTCTCTGTGTGTGTGGGTCTATTGGTCTCTGTGTGTGTGGGTCTCTGTGTGTGTGGGTCTCTGTGTGTATGGGTCTCTGTGTCTGTGTGGGTCTCTGTGTGGGTCTATGTGTGTGTGGGTCTCTGTGTGGGTCTGTGGGTGGGTCTCTGTGTGGGTCTATGGGTCTCTGTGTGGGTCTCTGTGTGTGTGGGTCTCTGTGTGTGTGGGTCTCTGTGTGTGTGGGTCTCTGTGTGTGTGGGTCTCTGTGTGGGTCTGTGGGTCTGTGGGTCTCTGTGTGTGTCTCTGTGGGTCTGTGTGGGTCTCTGTGTGGGTCTCTGTGTGTGTGAGTCTCTGTGTGTGTGGGTCTCTGTGTGGGTCTCTGTGTGGGTCTCTGTGTGGGTCTATGTGTGGGTCTGTGGATCTCTGTGTGGGTCTCTGTGTGTGTGGGTCTCTGTGTGTGTGGGTCTATGGGTCTCTGTGTGGGTCTGTGGGTGGGTCTCTGTGTGGGTCTATGGGTCTCTGTGTGGGTGTCTGTGTGTGTGTGGGTCTCTCTGTGTGGGTTTCTGTGTGGGTCTCTGTGTGGGTCTATGGGTCTCTGTGTGTGTGGGTCTCTGTGTGGGTCTCTGTGTGGGTCTATGGGTCTCTGTGTGTGCGGGTCTCTGTGTGGGTCTATGTGTGGGTCTCTGTGTGTGTGGGTCTCTGTGTGGGTCTCTGTGTGGGTCTCTGTGTGTGTGGGTCTCTGTGTGGGTCTGTGGGTCTCTGTGTGGGTCTGTGGGTCTCTGTGTGGGTCTCTGTGTGGGTCTATGTGTGGGTCTGTGGGTCTCTGTGTGGGTCTATGTGTGGGTCTCTGTGTGGGTCTGTGGGTCTCTGTGTGGGTCTATGTGTGGGTCTGTGGGTCTCTGTGTGGATCTATGTGTGGGTCTCTGTGTGGGTCTATGGGTCTCTGTGTGGGTCTGTGGGTCTCTGTGTGGGTCTATGTGTGGGTCTGTGGGTCTCTGTGTGAGTCTATGTGTGGGTCTCTGTGTGGGTCTGTGGGTCTCTGTGTGGGTCTGTGGGTCTCTGTGTGGGTCTATGTGTGGGTCTCTGTGTGGGTCTATGGGTCTATGTGTGGGTCTGTGGGTCTCTGTGTGGATCTATGTGTGGGTCTGTGGGTCTATGTGTGGGTCTCTGTGTGGGTCTGTGGGTCTATGTGTGGGTCTCTGTGTGGGTCTGTGGGTCTCTGTGTGGATCTATGTGTGGGTCTCTGTGTGGGTCTATGGGTCTCTGTGTGGGTCTGTGGGTCTCTGTGTGGATCTATGTGTGGGTCTGTGGGTCTATGTGTGGGTCTCTGTGTGGGTCTGTGGGTCTATGTGTGGGTCTCTGTGTGGGTCTGTGGGTCTCTGTGTGGGTCTATGTGTGGGTCTGTGGGTCTCTGTGTGGGTCTCTGTGTGGGTCTATGGGTGTCTGTGTGGGTCTATGGGTGTCTGTGTGGGTCTCTGTGTGGGTTTCTGTGTGGGTCTGTGGGTCTCTGTGTGGGTCTGTGGGTCTCTGTGTGGGTCTATGTGTGGGTCTGTGGGTCTCTGTGTGGGTCTATGGGTCTCTGTGTGGGTCTCTGTGTGGGTCTGTGTGGGTCTGTGTGGGTCTGTGTGGGTCTGTGAGTCTCTGTGGGGGTCTATGGGTCTCTGTGTGGGTCTGTGGGTCTCTGTGTGGGTCTATGGGTCTCTGTGTGGGGATGTGTGTGGGTCTCTGCGTGGGTCTCTGTGTGGGTCTGTGGGTCTCTGTGTGGGTCTGTGGGTCTCTGTGTGGGTCTGTGGGTCTCTGTGTGGGTCTGTGGGTCTCTGTGTGTGTGGTTCTATAGGTCTCTGTGTGTGTGGGTCTGTGGGTCTCTGTGTGGAGCTGTGGGTCTCTGTGTGGGTCTGTGGGTCTCTGTGTGGGTCTGTGCGTCTCTGTGTGGAGCTGTGGGTCTCTGTGTGTGTGAGTCTATGGGTCTCTGTGTGAGTCTATGGGCCTCTGTGTGAGTCTATAGGTCTCTGTGTGGAGCTGTGGGTCTCTGTGTGTGTCTATGGGTCTTTGTGTGAGTCTGTGGGTCTTTGTGTGAGTCTATGGGTCTCTGTGTGAGTCTATAGGTCTCTGTGTGGGTCTGTGGGTCTCTGTGTGGGTCTCTGGGTCTTTGTGGGTCTCTGTGTGGGTCTCTGTGTGGGTCTGTGGGTCTCTGTGTGGAGCTGTGGGTCTCTGTGTGAGTCTATGGGTCTCTGTGTGGTTTTATAGGTCTCTGTGTGGAGCTGTGGGTCTCTGTGTGGGTCTCTATGTGGGTCTCTGTGGGTCTCTGTGTGGGTCTCTGTGTGGGTCTGTGGGTCTCTGTGTGGGTCTGTGGGTCTCTGTGTGGGTCTCTGTGTGAGTCTATGTGTCTCTGTGTGAGTCTATGGGTCTGTGTGTGTGTGGGTCTACAGGTCTCTGTGTGGGTCTGTGGGTCTCTGTGTGAGTCTACGGGTCTATGTGTGTGTGTGGTTCTATAGGTCTCTGTGTGGGTCTCTATGGGTCTCTGTGTGAGTCTATAGGTCTCTGTGTGGAGCTGTGGGTCTCTGTGTCGGTCTGTGGGTCTCTGTGTGTGTGGGTCTCTGTGTGGGTCTGTGGGTCTCTGTGTGAGTCTATAGGTCTCTGTGTGGAGCTGTGGGTCTCTGTGTGTGTCTGTGGGTCTCTGTGTGAGTCTATGGGTCTTTGTGTGAGTTTACGGGTCTCTCTTGTGTGCGTTTTCTATACAATGCAACGGATAGAAGCCAGGCCTCCACACGACGTTGCCCCCCCCCCACCCCCCCCACCCCCCCTCTGTCTCTCGCAGATCTCCGGCGCCAACGCGAACCAACACGGTGCCACCTTTACCCTCAACTCGTCCGCTCACTCCGCGTCGCTCTCCTTTGAGCGAGCGTCGCCATCGCACAGCGGCCTCTACTCCTGCTGCGTCCGCCACGGAGCCGCCGCCAACGGAGCCACCGCTGCCGCCAACGGAGCCACCGCTGCCGCCAACGGAGCCACCGCTGCCGCCAACGGAGCCACCGCTGCCACCAACGGAGCCACCGCTGCCGCCAACGGAGCCCCCACCTCTGCTACCGCCACCGCTGTTGCCGCCACCGCCGCCGTGGTGGAGCAGCAGCCGGATCCGCAGCAGCAGCAGGAGGTGGAGGAGGACTGCCGCTGCTCCTTCCGGCTCCACGTCGAGGAGCCGGCTTCGTCTTCCGCTCATCAGCAGAGCGATGGATCCACGCCTAACGGTGGGTGTGCCCTGCCAGCCAGCCAGCCAGGCAGGCAGGCAGCGTGACCAGTCAGGCAGCCAGGCAGGCAGCAAGCGTGACCAGTCAGGCAGCCAGGCAGGCAGGCAGCGTGACCAGTCAGGCAGCCAGGCAGGCAGGCAGGTAGGAATCCAGCCAGGCAGGGTTCCAGCCAGCCAGCCAGGCAGGCAAGCACCCAGGCAGGCAGCAAACCTGACCAGTCAGGCAGCCAGGCAGGAATTCAGCTGTCCAGGCAGGTAGTAATCCAGCCAGCCAGGTAAGAATTCAGCCAGGCAAGAATCCAGCCATCCAGCTAGACAGCTAGGAATCCAGCCAGCCAGGTAGGAATCCAGCCAGGCAGGCAAGGCAGACCAGCATCCATGTGTGTGTAGTGTCAAGCGGAGCGGGAGACGAGGTTTCTGAGGAGGCACCTTCTTTATTCAACTCTTCCAGGTTCACAGGTTTGCTTCTCCCAAGTCGCCTAGCCCAGACACAACGCCGACCGTGATGCGCCGACCGAGACGGCCGACAAAATTCCGGCAGCGCAATGTCGTCTCGCGAAGGCGGCCGGTTCCCAGAACCGGCAGACACGGAGCTCTCCGCTCTCCGCTCTCCGCTGCCGTGATCCTACCCGGCGCCGCGGAAGTGGTCATCACCGGCGTGCGTGCCGATCGTCACCCGCAGCTGCCGTTGCTGGATAACAGACGACGCTGTTACCCTGCATCTGTGTAGTGTAGTGTGCAGTGTGTAGTGTAGTGTATAGTGTGTAGTGTGTATTGTAGTAGTGTATAGTGTGTAGTGTAGTGTATAGTATAGTAGTGTATAGTATAGTGTGTAGTGTATAGTATAGTAGTGTATAGTATAGTGTATAGTGTAGTGTATAGTGTAGTGTATAGTGTAGTGTATAGTATAGTGTATAGTATAGTGTATAGTATAGTGTATAGTGTAGTGTATAGTGTAGTGTATAGTATAGTGTAGTGTATAGTATAGTGTATAGTGTAGTGTATAGTGTAGTGTATAGTGTAGTGTATAGTATAGTGTATAGTGTAGTGTATAGTGTAGTAGTGTATAGTGTAGTGTATAGTAGTGTATAGTGTAGTGTATAGTGTAGTAGTGTAGTGTATAGTGTAGTAGTGTATAGTATAGTGTATAGTAGTGTATAGTGTAGTGTATAGTATAGTAGTGTAGTGTATAGTGTAGTAGTGTATAGTATAGTGTATAGTGTAGTAGTGTGTAGTGTAGTGTATAGTGTAGTGTATAGTGTAGTGTATAGTGTAGTAGTGTGTAGTGTAGTGTATAGTGTAGTGTATAGTGTAGTAGTGTGTAGTGTAGTGTATAGTATAGTAGTGTAGTAGTGTATAGTGTAGTGTAGCGTGTAGTAGTGTGTAGTGTAGTGTATAGTGTAGTGTATAGTGTAGTGTGTAGTATAGTGTATAGTGTAGTAGTGTATAGTGTAGTAGTGTAGTGTAATAGTGTAGTGTATAGTGTAGTAGTGTATAGTGTAGTAGTGTATAGTGTAGTAGTGTATAGTGTAGTGTATTAGTGTATAGTGTAGTGTATAGTGTAGTGTAGTAGTGTATAGTGTAGTGTATAGTGTAGTGTAGTGTATAGTGTAGTAGTGTATAGTGTAGTAGTGTATAGTATAGTGTAGTAGTGTAGTATATAGTGTATAGTATAGTAGTGTATAGTGTAGTGTGTAGTATAGTGTAGTGTGTAGTATAGTGTATAGTATAGTAGTGTAGTGTATAGTATAGTAGTGTATAGTGTAGTAGTGTATAGTGTAGTAGTGTATAGTGTAGTAGTGTATAGTGTAGTAGTGTATAGTGTAGTAGTGTATAGTGTAGTAGTGTATAGTGTAGTAGTGTATAATATAGTGTAGTAGTGTAGTATATAGTGTATAGTATAGTAGTGTATAGTGTAGTGTATAGTGTAGTAGTGTATAGTGTAGTAGTGTAGTGTATAATGTATAGTATAGTAGTGTATAGTGTAGTGTATAGTGTAGTAGTGTAGTAGTGTGTAGTGTATAGAGTATAGTATAGTAGTGTATAATGTATAGTATAGTAGTGTATGGTGTAGTAGTGTAGTGTAGTAGTGTGTAGTGTAGTGTATAGTGTGTAGTGTAGTGTATAGAGTATAGTATAGTAGTGTATAATGTATAGTATAGTAGTGTATAATGTATAGTATAGTAGTGTATAGTGTAGTAGTTTAGTGTTCAAGGCTCCCCGGGGGCTCTTTATCTTCTTGCGAGTGCAGTGACGACGTTCTTGGCCGTCATCTGCTCGCTGCTTGCCGGGGTCGGAGTCATCGCCGCGCTGCTCTTCGTGCTGCTCAGAAGATACCGAAACTGCAGCTCCGTAGACAAAGCCACCGCTGCCACCAAAGGCACCGCCACCACCACCACCGCTGCCACCACCGCCGCCACCGCCACCACCATCTCCACCATCGCCACCAGCTCGGAACACGTGTGAACCCTCCGCTCTGGACACCCCTAGGTCGATGCTCGTGTGTGAGTGTGTGATGGGGTCTGTTGAGTCATCACACAACAGCCCTTGTAGCAGTACCTGTTATTGTCTGCATCCTGTAATCCCCAATGATGTATGGTGGTCTGTATAGGCGCGCATTTAAACGATGCATTCTTTTTTTCGATTTAAAGCTTTCGTGGCTGCAGGGATTCATCGTCTTGGTTCTTTCGGTAAAGTCATCGCGTAGAAGGGAGATAATAAAATAATAAAAATAAACCATAATAAAATACAATTTTAAAATAATAAAAATAAAACGTAATAAAATGCAATTTTAAAATAATAAAAATAAAACGTAATAAAATACAATTTTAAAATAATAAAAATAAAACATAATAATATACAATTTTTAAATAATAAAAATAAAACATAATACAATTTTAATAGTAATAAAAATAAAACATAATAAAATAATTCTCACGACGTTTCGGCCACAACGCAAGCAGCCGTCCTCAGGTGAAGAGCAGGTCTGTCGAGAAGACATTCAGACGCTGTCTTCTCGACAGACCTGGTCTTCACCTGAGGACGGCTGCTTGCGTTGTGGCCGAAACGTCGTGAGAATTATTTTATTATGTTTTATTTTTATTATTTTATTACTTCCCTTCTACGTGACTTTACCGAAAGAACCAAGAAGATGCATTCTTTGACGATTTTCTTCCAAGCACCACTAAGTCGGAAACTATCCGAACGGTTAAAATCATTTTTGTATTTCGCTCAATTTCGGTGGCCAGTAGTATCTAGTTTTGCACAGAACTTCAACATCATCAACATCAATTGAGTGTTCTTGTTGGCACGCGTGTTCTGCCACTGCCGCCAGCTGTGTTTGTGAGTATTTAATTTTTCTTTGGTGTTCTTTTAGTCTCGTGGTGATCATTCGCCCTGCCTGGCCAACGCAGCATTTGCCACATGAGCAATTAGTCCGGTACACACCTTCTGTTTATAGCTTCTGTAATACATCTTTAGTGCCAGATATTAGTTAATGTATTTAATTTTCCCGTGTCAAATCTCCCTGGGATGTTTTGTTTTTCCCAAAAATATGACTGACTTCTACAGTTTGAGAGGTCCAACCCAAGGCCCTCCACCATCAGTCACACAGTTTGCTAAACGTTTACCAGTGTGGCTCTCAATTGGCTCAAAGCCCAGGAATCACTCCACCACATTCCCGCTGCTGTTAACAAACCGGAATCTGAACGTAAATTGGTCCAAATGTGACAGGTCTGGAGTGGAGTCAACAATTGTTGAAAAACTGGGGGTTGTTCGGGGCCGCCTGTGGTGACCCTCACAACCATTTATGGCCTTGGGCCAGGAAAGTCACGAAAAAGTTGCACACGAACGACGCATCCACGCAAGCTCCCGATGCTCCGTTTTGAAGTTTGAAAATGAAACAACTTTGAATTGTATAATGTTTTGAATTAGATAATTGTATTTCTTCATTAAAAGCTTATATCATTTTACATCTGGAAGACTTCATTGAAAACTACATTTCGTGTGAATTTTCTCTAGTCGTTAAGTAGATGGCCTTGCCGGGGTTCGGTTCGATGCGGACTTTCACCTGGTTGGGATCGCGGGGTGGAGATAAGGCGACATAGAGCTGGCCGTGCCAGAAGACTGCCGTCTGCAGATCGATTCCAACGCGATCGAACGTCTGTCTCTGCGCCTCCGTCGTCCATGCAGGGGGCGCGTAGGTTTACAGCGCCCCCTGCATGAAAACAACAGAAAGTGCAGCGTTCGCCACAGATAGATAAAGTTGTGCGCTTATATAAGAGTATATTTGGCATCCCAAATCTCAACTGCTATTGTGTGGCGAGTTTTCTGACCCATTAGCTCTATGAGCTCTTCACATTGTCGATGACAAATAGGACATTGTGCCTCTTCCTTTTCCGCCAAACTTTTTAATATGTTCAGCTAAGAATGGGTCAAATTGTGATAGCAGCAATTCTAGGATGCCATGAAAATTATCGTTATTCGTTGACCCAAACCGTTCATCATCTCCCCTAAACGCAAGTCCTCTTTCACCCAAGAACTTGAGCCACTGCTACAACTCTTTTCAAAAATGTCCCTCCAGTATTTACGTTCCCCATCAAGTTGCTGCATGCGATCTGCATCTACAGCACTGCCCTTTGTCCGCTGGTGCAAGGCAAGCATGCTTGATCTGTGTTCTGCACTCTTTGCGTGTTCCCCTATTCTTTCAGGGTGTTTCCAGTCACTCAACCCCTGACGAAAGCCACCGAGCTTGCTGGAGAGCAGTTTGCATGCAAAACAGTGCACACACATCCTGTCGAGGGTGAGTAGAGTAGCCACTGTCGAGAAACATTCTGCCCATTTGGCAATATATAGTTCAGAAATTCATTGATGAAACTTCTAGTCTTTCCACCAGGCGCTCTATCTCGGTCTGAAGCTGGGTATTTTTCACTGAGGTTTTGGAAGGGGACAATACGATACTCCTCAGACGATACTCAGATGATACTCAGATGACGATACTCAGACGATAATCAGATGACGATACTCAGACGATACTGATCATCTGTATTATCGCTTTTTTTTGGTTGGGTAAGATCGTGTTAATGTGCCGTCAAACCCACCACTACCACCAATTCGGGCTGTCTGCATGATGATGATGATGATGACGATGAAGGTGGTGACAGTGATGATGACAATGATGATGACAATGATGATGGTGGTGATGATGATGACGGTGACGGTGACGATGATGGTGGTGATGACGATGCCGGTGGTGATGATTGGCAAAGCATCACGGTACTTGGATTAATGTTGTGGACTGTGCTGTACTAGTATACTACACTATACACTACACTACCGTACACTATACACTACACTACTATACACTATACACTACACCACGTAGCGCTACGTAACGCTAACCGCAGCACAACCACCACCACCACCAGGGTGGTGCTTCTCCGTCTCTCCGCGGACTGTCAGGCGGTACCACCTCCTACTCCCTCCCCTCCCTCCACCTCCCCCTCCTTACTTCTCCCCCTCTCTCTTCCTCCTACTCCCTCCCCATCCTACTCCCTCCCCATCCTACTCCCTCCCCATCCTACTCCCTCCTTTCCGATCCTACTCCTTCCCTCCGTCTCCTCCTCCCCCCCTGTCTCTCCTCCTCCTACTCCCTCCCCATCCCACTCCATCCCTCCATCCTCCATCCTCCTGCCGCCCATCCTCTCCCTTCCCAACCGTTTCCGGGGTAATGTACCACCACCGCCACCACCGCCACCACCACCGCCACCGCCACCACCGCCACCACCGCCACCACCCCGCCACCACCACCACCGCCATCCCACCGCCACCACCGCCACCACCACCACCATCGCCGCCACGCACCATCGCCGCCACCACCGCCACCACCGCCACCATCGCCGCCACCACCACCGCCACCACCACAACCATCGCCGCCACCACCGCCACCACCACAACCATCGCCGCCACCACCGCCACCACCACAACCATCGCCGCCACCATCGCCGCCACCCGCCAACCATCGCCGCCACCACCACCGCCACCACCACAACCATCGCCGCCACCACCGCCACCACCACAACCATCGCCGCCACCACCGCCACCACCACAACCATCGCCGCCACCACCGCCACCACCACAACCATCGCCGCCACCACCGCCACCACCACAACCATCGCCACCACCACCGCCACCACCACAACCATCGCCGCCACCACCGTCTCCGTACGGCTCCGTCTCTCCGCCAACGACCGACAGGCGGTAGGACCTCCGGCACTCTGTGCCAGTATCTCCAGACACGCAGTACCCGCCGGTAGCGGCGGTAGCGGCGCTAGCGGCGCTAGCGGCGGGCGTAGCGGCGGTGAGGGTGCAGGAGTAGAGGCCGCTGTGGGTCGCCGAGGCCCCCGACAGGCCCAGGGTCGCGTCGCCTGCCCGGAGGTCGCCATCGAACCGCAGCCAGGACGGGAGCCCCTCCCAACGCTCACCCTGGCGGAGCGGCAATACCTGGGGCAGGGTAGCAGCGGAGACTCAGCACTGTCACCCATAGACTCAACACTGTCACCCATAGACTCAACACTGTCACCCAAAGACTCAGCACTGTCACCCAAAGACTCAACACTGTCACCCATAGACTCAACACTGTCACCCACAGACTCAACACTGTCACCCATAGACTCAACACTGTCACCCACAGACTCAACACTGTCACCCATAGACTCAACACTGTCACCCAAAGACTCAACACTGTCACCCACAGACTCAACACTGTCACCCATAGACTCAACACTGTCACCCAAAGACTCAACACTGTCACCCATAGACTCAACACTGTCACCCACAGACTCAACACTGTCACCCACAGACTCAACACTGTCACCCAAAGACTCAACACTGTCACCCACAGACTCAACACTGTCACCCAAAGACTCAACACTGTCACCCACAGACTCAACACTGTCACCCATAGACTCAACACTGTCACCCAAAGACTCAACACTGTCACCCACAGACTCAACACTGTCACCCATAGACTCAACACTGTCACCCACAGACTCAACACTGTCACCCATAGACTCAACACTGTCACCCATAGACTCAACACTGTCACCCACAGACTCAACACTGTCACCCATAGACTCAACACTGTCACCCACAGACTCAACACTGTCACCCATAGACTCAACACTGTCACCCATAGACTCAGCACTGTCACCCACAGACTCAACACTGTCACCCATAGACTCAACACTGTCACCCATAGACTCAACACTGTCACCCACAGACTCAACACTGTCACCCACAGACTCAACACTGTCACCCACAGACTCAACACTGTCACCCATAGACTCAACACTGTCACCCATAGACTCAACACTGTCACCCATAGACTCAACACTGTCACCCACAGACTCAACACTGTCACCCACAGACTCAACACTGTCACCCACAGACTCAACACTGTCACCCATAGACTCAACACTGTCACCCACAGACTCAATACTGTTACCCACAGACTCAACACTGTCACCCACAGACTCAACACTGTCACCCATAGACTCAACACTGTCACCCACAGACTCAACACTGTCACCCACAGACTCAACACTGTCACCCACAGACTCAACACTGTCACCCATAGACTCAACACTGTCACCCACAGACTCAACACTGTCACCCATAGACTCAACACTGTCACCCACAGACTCAACACTGTCATAGACTCAACACTGTCACCCATAGACTCAACACTGTCACCCACAGACTCAACACTGTCACCCATAGACTCAACACTGTCACCCACAGACTCAACACTGTCACCCACAGACTCAACACTGTCATAGACTCAACACTGTCACCCATAGACTCAACACTGTCACCCACAGACTCAACACTGTCACCCATAGACTCAACACTGTCATAGACTCAACACTGTCATAGACTCAACGCTGTCACCCATTGACTCAACACTGTCACCCACAGACTCAACACTGCCACCCATTGACTCAACACTGCCACCCATAGACTAAACACTGCCACCCATAGACTCAACACTGTCACCCATTGACTCAACACTGCCACCCATAGACTAAACACTGCCACCCATAGACTCAACACTGTCACCCATTGACTCAACACTGCCACCCATAGACTCAACACTGTCACCCATTGACTCAACACTGTCACCCATAAACTCAACACTGCCACCCATAGACTCAACACTGTCACCCATTGACTCAACACTGCCACCCATAGACTAAACACTGCCACCCATAGACTCAACACTGTCACCCATTGACTCAACACTGCCACCCATAGACTCAACACTGTCACCCATTGACTCAACACTGTCACCCATAGACTCAACACTGCCACCCATAGACTCAACACTGCCACCCATAGACTCAACACTGTCACCCATTGACTCAACACTGCCACCCATAGACTCAACACTGCCACCCATAGACTCAACACTGCCACCCATAGACTCAACATTGCCACCCATTGACTCAACACTGTCACCCATAGACTCAACACTGCCACCCATAGACTCAACATTGCCATCCATAGACTCAACACTGCCACCCATAGACTCAACACTGTCACCCATTGACTCAACACTGCCACCCATAGACTCAACACTGTCACCCATTGACTCAACACTGCCACCCATAGACTCAACACTGCCACCCATAGACTCAACACTGCCACCCATAGACTCAACACTGCCACCCATAGACTCAACATTGCCACCCATTGACTCAACACTGTCACCCATAGACTCAACACTGCCACCCATAGACTCAACATTGCCATCCATAGACTCAAACTTGCACAATAGACTCAACACTACACCATAGATTCAACACTGCCACCCATAGACTCAACACTGCCACCCACAGACTCAACACTGCCACCCACAGACTCAACACTGTCACCCACAGACTCAACACTGTCACCCATAGACTCAACACTGTCACCCATAGATTCAACACTGCCACCCATAGACTCAACACTGCCACCCACAGACTCAACACTGTCACCCACAGACTCAACACTGTCACCCATAGACTCAAACTTGCACAATAGACTAAATACTGCAACATAGACTCAACACGGCCCATACTACCGACAGGAGCAGGCGTCAAAGTCGGGATCGAACCTACGACTTCCTGCACACCAGGGTGAGGTAGTTAACATCTCCTAGCCACACTCCCCACCGAACCCACACAGTGGGGATGGAACCCACGACCTCCTGCACACCAGGCGAGGCAGTTAACATCTCAGACCCACCATGGCACCCGTTTGATAAGTATCAACATTGGCTGGCATCGCGTCTTTCGTCAGGGTTCCTTGGAGAGAACAAAAAAACATCTCAACACTTCCCCAGCGCTCGCGACGTTGGGAGCGGTTGTCTGGGTTGGACGTTCCAACGTCATTCTCGATTTACAGCCCCTACACAGGGACTGCCGCTACTTGCGAACGAGTAAAGTTCCAGAAGTTTGTTCCCAACGTGTTGTACTGCATGTACAATAGTACCATGCATTATACACTACTATACTGAATTATACACTACTATACTGCATTATATACATGACTACACTACTACACTAAATTATATACCACTATATTCTATATTATTTACTACTACACTTCATTATACATTACTACACTACACTAGATACTGCTACACTACATTATATACTACTACACTGCATTATATACTACTGCACTACATTTTGCACTACTACACTACATTATATACTACTACACTACATTATACACTACTATACTACATTATACACTACTACACTACATTATACACTACTACACTACATTATATACTGCTACACTACATTATATACTACTACACTACATTATACACTACTATACTACATTATACACTACTACACTACATTATACACTACTACACTACATTATACATTACTACACTACATTATATACTACTACACTACATTATGCACTACTACACTACATTATATACTACTACACTACATTATATACTGCTACACTACATTATATACTACTACACTACATTATATACTACTACACTACATTATACACTACTACACTACATTATATACTACTACACTATAGTACAGGGACTCCTCTACTTGTGAACGAATTAAGTTCCAGAGGGCGAATGTTTGTAAGTAGATACATCTAATTGTTGTAAGTAGATGAGTAAGTAGAAAGAGTCGAACGTCCGTAAGGACAACGTTTTTAAGTGGAATGTTCGTAAGTGGAATGTTCGTAAGTGGAATGTTCGTAAGTGGAATGTTCGTAATTAGAGGCGCCCGGCCCCCCGTCCCCGTACCCACCACGAAGTTGGAGCCGTTGTCCAGGTGGACGTCCCACCGCACGATCAGCGACCGCTGCTCGATCTGCGGCACCGCGCCGCTGACGGAGCACGGGAGGCGCTGCGAGTGTCCCGCGGAGACCTCCACCCTCGTGGTCAGAGGCTGCTCCTCGCACAGACCTGGCGGAGGGGGTCACCGGCGATCGCGGTGAAGATGATGGCGATGATGAGTGTGTCGTGTGTGGGTGTCGTGTGTGTGTCTGTGTCATGTGTGTTATGTGTGTCTGTGTCGTGTGTGGGTGTGTCGTGTGTGTGTGTGTCGTGTGTGTTATGTGTGTGTGTCTGTGTCGTATGTGTCGTGTGTGATGCGTGTGTGTATCCGGTGTGTTTGTCGTGTCTGTGTGTGTAGTGTTTGTGTGTGTGTAGTGTTTGTGTGTCTGTGTCGTGTGTTTGTCTGTCCGTGTGCATGTGTGTCTATGTGTAATGAGCGACTTCCGTGACACGTCGTGTAGAGGGTACTTTTTTTTTTATTTCTCAAACTAGCACAACACAGGATAACCTTATCTTCTCATTCTGAGTACAACACTGAGATATTAACGTCTCCGCTGGCTACAGACAGCCGATCACTCGGCGTGGTCCCACCGCCCTCACTCGGCCACGCCGCTGGCTGGCGGCGTGATGACGATGGCGGTGGAAACCCCGCAGGAGATCTTCCACGTGGCCGCACGACAGAGAGAGATGACGACAAGTAGCGACGCAGCCAGGACCCAAGACTTCTCGTGGAATCTTGGAGCAGGCTCCCAATGTATCTCAGATAACCCCACCTGTTACCTTTGCCCCAGAAACCTCTTCAACCGTGCCCATACCTGTGATTCGCTTTCCCGGCCGGCAGGTGCCACCATGTCATTACATATTTGTGCATACGGTGGTGAAAGGTGGTGCTGTAGTTAGCGCGATATGATGCGTTCCGAACCCGGCGACTCAAGTTTGATTCCCGCTCATGGCCAAAACCACAGCGACGATTATCTGGACCGGACCTGGGCCTCCCCTAGGTCGACTCAGCCAAAGATGAGTACCTGGTGTGGTGTGTAGTGAACATCGCCACTAGGGGAGGCAAAGGTGGCCGGGCGTGGTGCTGGCCACCCACCTCCTCGTGTACCATTCCAGCCTTCATAGGTGCTACTCGCTAACAGCACTTGCCCCTACAGTCGGCTAGAGGTCAGAGGCCACTCGCTACACCCTACATCACCCCCCCACTCACCACCGAACACCTCCAGCAACACGTCCTGCAGGTAGGAGCCAATTCCCACGGTTTCGAGTTGGCACTGGTAGACACCGGCCATGGAGTGCGCCACTCCCAGCAACAGCAGCGAGCTCTCGCCGCGACCAATATCGACCGTGGGCACGATGTAGTCGTACTTGGTCCGAGTTTGGTTCATACTCGCCGTGTAAATGTAGACCTGTGGGGTGCGCACAGCGGCAAAGATCACCCCCCCCCCCCGTGTGGCCGTAACTGGGTAAGTCGAAAGAAGCAGTAGCTAGCACCGCACACAGACACACACAGACACAGACACACAACAACACAACAACAACCGCCATTCGCCACTAAGTGGCGGTGACATCACCACCACGCTTGTGCCAGGCCATGTGCACCTTGAGGCCACGTGAAGTGTCGAACGCCCGCTGGCAGGAGGTCACGGGGCAAACCCAGCAGGTGCCACGGGTCGACTGACCGAGATGACCGAGATGACTGGCTGATGCACCACCTGTGCCCCCTACTGTGCCAACTTGTTGTGCTTTAGCCACCCGGCGCTCCACTCGTTGTTGTGAGCGTCGCTCCTCCGCCCTCCATTATTGTTGGAGGGCGACTGCCTCCAACTGCCCAGTAGCGTCCTTCACGAGCCTCCTCCACAGAGGCCGATCTTGACACCGCTGGTACCAGTCATCGGCAAGTCCACTCAGCTCCACGTCCTCCTGTACCACATCACTCCATCTCTTCTCTAGCCCGTGCCTCCTGTACCACATCACTCCATCTCCTCTCTAGCCCGTGCAGGGCCCGTTTAGCCCCCTCGATCCGGCCGAACAAAAGCTGTTTAGGCATGCGGTGACTGGGCATGTGGGCTACATGACCCAGCCAACGCAGCCTTGCCTGCCAGAGGAGCTCACCGATGGGACTTTGCCCAAATCTTTCAAGGATTTGTGAGCTCCTCACACAATCCAGCTTGGTGAAATCCAGGATGGATCGTAGGCAGCCAGCCTAAATGTTTCTAACCAGCGAAGATGCTCCATTAGGGGGGTCCACGTTTCGCTAGTGTAGAGAAGGGAGAGAATGACCGTGGCTGAGAAGACCTGATGCTTCGTGCGGAGCGACAGACCAGGCAGCTTCCACACAGTGTTATGCAACCGATAAAAAGATATTGCCGCTCGACTGATTCGGAGTGAGACCTCCACTGCCAAACCGAAGCCGGTCATGAGCACACTGTCCAGGTATGGGAAACTCTCCACTCTCTCCACAACCACCCCATAAACTATTGGGAGTTGTGGGGGTGGAGTGTCCGATGATACAAAATACCCAGGCAGGTGCTTAGTTTTGGTGGGGCTGATGGTAAGGCCCCACCTCTTAGTGGCATGCTCCAGTTTCAACAGAAGCGTCTCCAACTCCTCCTCTGAATGAGCAGCAGCATACGTAACATGGTTGACCAATAGGGAGCCATCCCTTGATCGCACCCAGGCATTGATCAGCCTCCCATTATATCTGTACCAAGTGGAAATTCCTCCAGTACAGCTATTGAAGGCTTCATGAACTACATGGTCGAAATGAATGTAAAAAAATGTTGGAGCCAGAGAACATCCCTGTCGCATCTCAAAGTGAACAGGGAATGGCTCCGACTCCCGGCCACGTAGTTTTACCCGGGCCCGCTCACCATCATAAAGGTCCTTAATGATCATGAGCAGCGGATCATGCACTCCGAAAGCACGAAGATCAACCCAGAGCCCAGGCCTACTGATGGCATCATAGGCCTTGACCAGGTCAATAAAGCAGAGATGTAGGTCTTGTTGGAATTCCCTACACCTCTGCTGTAGCAGACGGACAGAAAATATGGCATCTGTGCAGGACCGCCCTTTCCTGAAACCGCATTGGGGCTCCGCAAGCCTCTCCTCAGCGTGCCTAGCAAGGCGATGTTGAATAATCCTTGCCAGGACCTTTCCCGGCACACTGAGGAGTGAGATGCCCCTGTAGTTGTTACAGTCTGTGCGGTGCCACTTCTTAAAGAGGAGGCCACCAGAGCATCCTTCCAATCCTGCGGAACCCGTCCAGTGGACCAGACTGTTGTTATGATGTCATATAGGGCAGTCTGTGCACAAACGCCACCCTCTTTCAGCATTTCGCTTGGGAGATCATCTCTGCCCGGTGCTTTTCCTGGTCTCGGACTCTGGATCGCCTTTAGACCTTCCTCAATAGATGGCACCTCAGCCAGCCACTCACAGGGGGTGACTTCTTCCAATATTTGAGGCACCGCAGCCTCAGCAGGGTCATCCCCACTTTGTGCCATGATGTTTTCCTGGCTGAGAGATTTCCCTTCCCCCAGGACCTCACAGAAATGCTCATCAAATCTGCAAACCTGTTCCTGGGGGTCGGAGATTGGATCACCGTTCTTTCCCCTAATGATGGTAATAGGTGTGGCGCTGCAGGTTACTTTTTTTATGGAATTAAATAGTGATTTGTGATTGCGGGCCATTGAGGCAGACTCCATCTCCTCAGCAACCCGCGACCACCACCCATCCTTGCAGCGCCTCACGGCTCTCCGAATCTCCGAGCAAAGGCTGCGGTAAGCCTCTTCATTCTCTGACATGGGATGCTGTAGACGATTATAGTGGGACTGTCGCTTTTTCTCAACCATCCTGAACACCTCCTCTGTCAGCCAGGGTCTCTGGTGAGGTCTGGACCGCGTACCCAAAGCAGTCATTGCAGCTGCATGAGTCACAGTCCTAAACCTCGCCCATTTACCCTCGACATCAGGAGGAGTGGGGGACGATGCCAACCCCAGCTGCAAGCGTTGATGAAATTCTCGCTTGCAACTTCCATCAGCTATCTGAGACCAGGCCACCTTAGGTTGGAATGTGGTCCTTGGTGTACACCCACCACCGGAGTGGAAGAATGGCAGGCGCATCTTACAGATGACTAGTCGATGGTCAGAGGGCAGATCAGCTCCACGGTAGGTCCTGGTGTCAAGGACATGGGCTCGCATCCGCTGGTCCGTCACTATGTAGTGCAGCAGATGTTCTTGCTTGGACCCGGCATGCATCCATGATGTTGTATGGATGCGCCGATGCCAGAACAGCGTGTTGATAATTACAAGCCCATGGGCTGCACAAAAATCTAGTAGCCTCCTACCGTTGTTATTGAGCTGATCTGGCCCATGCCTACCAATCACTCCAGACCAGGTGCCAGCATCATGACCAACTCGGGCATTGAAGTCACCCAACAAGATGACTATTCCGAGGGGCCACTTTAGCCAGCACCTGTGACAGGAGGTCATAGAAGGCATCTGACTTATTTGGCTTTGCCTGCATCCCTCCACGGATGTTCTTCTTCGGTGGGGGCATAAGTAACCACGGCTACCACTCCTTGCCTCCGGTTGATGGGAAGGCGAACCCAAAGTAGCCTGGGGCTTACAGCTTCCCACACCTCACCGCCACGCTCCCACGTCCCCTTCATTCTTTTGTTCAGAAGAAGAACCACACCCTTTTACTTGACAGTCTCCTGCCCCGAGTAGAGGACTGTCCACCCCTCATGGTGGCAGGAACCAGAGCCAGTCCACCGGACCTCCTCAATGCCACAGAGATCCAGGCAGTACCAGTCCAGCTCCCGACAGAGGAGTGGCAGCCTCTCCTCCGCAGTGAGCATTCGAACATTCCACGTGGCCACACGTAGTGGCTTTTTCTTGTTTCTGGTGGAGCCCCAAGGGTAAAGATTCAGTCTCCTGGCTCCGCCAAATGGGGTTTGGCCAGGAGACGTCATATACACCTATCCCCCCGGAGCCTCCGGCACAAGCTTATTAATTAGATATTTTTCACCTGGTTTAGTGGTAATTTATTGAAGGTGGAGGGGTTACCAGCCCCTCGCACCCATCCAGAGTCCCCATTTAGCCGCTACGGTGGTCACAAACGCTCTGAGGGGAGAGGCCAATAGGAATTGGCCCTCCACCCCATGGCACTGTCCACGACAACGTTGCCCGTCCGGCACCACGGGGAGGTAGGGGGTTGTTTTTGCCGGACACACACATACATACACAATGATTCCCCAGTATCCTCTGACAGAGTAGTCTCTAACAGCCTGTTAGCGAGCACCTATGAAGGCCGGAACGGTAAACGACCGACTTTGTCTCCCCAGTGGTGATGTGTACTACACACCACACCAGATACTCATTTGAGGCTTAGTCGACCTAGGGGAGGCCCAGGACGGGTTCAAATAATCGTCACTGGCGGTGGCCCTGAGTGGGAATCGACCTCGGGTCACCCGATTCGTAGCGCAGCGTAGCGCTAAACGACTCCCCCACCGCTCCCCAACACACACGCACACACGCTGTAAGACACACGTAGCATATATTTCAGTGAGTACATTTATAAATGTGGTACATTTACAATTTATAAACCAGTGCCAGACCAGAGATTCCTAACAAAAGGTTTCTATTTGGTGTTAGAACATTTGAACACAACTCCTGCTGTTGCGTTGCCAAGAAGGGTGAAACCATATTCTTATTTTTCCATGACTTTGACACTGGAATTAAAGTCAAATTTGTAGCTGCTCACCCCGAGCTATAAATGCGCCGATGGTGGATCACCCTTGTGCTGTTCACCTTTTGGCGTTCTTTGCTCTGACACCGGTAGTGAGACTGGGCCCTGAAGAAGGCTGCCGTCTCTGGTGTAGGCCAATCAGTTTCAAAGACAACGCCATAGAACATTATAGTTACGTAATTATCAAAGACAACGCCAAAGAACATTATAGTTACGTAATTATCAAAGACAATGCCATACACAAGTATACTGTTCTACTGACACTCGTGGTGAGACGACGCCATTTTTCCATAACTTGGATGCCTAGCAAAAACAACAACAAGGTTCCCGTACCGTTTCTTTCGTAAGCGGCTCCCTCCAGCGGACCAGACTGAGGCTCAGGCTGGCGACCTCCACCGGCAGGGAGCATCGCAGGGTGGCGTTGCCTCCCAGCGGCGCCTTCACGAGCTCGGACGGTTCCAGTCTGTGCATCACGGCACGCGCCCAACCTGGGCACACACACAGAGACACAAAGATGGACGCCATTCACCGTGTCACCTCTAGCAGGGCTGTAGGGGGCAATTGGCTGTTAGTAGCAAGTAGCAGCGCTTATGAAGGCTACTGGCACTGTGGCACACACAGGGTGGGTGAGTAGTCAGCACCACCTCTACACTCACACTGACGTACAACAACCGCCATTCGCCACTAAGTGGCGGTGACATCACCACACGTACACACACACGTGCTTAAGCTAGTCCATCGCATCCGATGAAGACTTCCATTACTTCTTGTGGGTTCTCTGATGGCCGTGCGGTCCTGCCACAGACGGAGCACATGGAGGCCGGTCCCGCTGGGACCGGTGCAGCTACGTCCACGCTGCTTCCTTTGTCGCTTCGCCAGGCCGCGTTTCGGCAATTTTTTTCCCTTCAGCCGACCGCGCTCCTCGATGGCAGAGGCCGCGCCGGGGTGGAACGGTCAGCAGCAAACGGCCGCGAGGGAGACGGGGGGGGGTCTACCCCACGCTTCCTTAGCGAGGCCTTCAACCAATCCTTGAGCCGTTTTTCTTCGGCCCAACTCTGCAGAGCGACGGCCCAGCTCCGGCTGTCCGTACGTACGCCATCTTTGGCGGGCAGGCGGTCCGCCGGCATTCGGATGGCCGTGGCAATGAGCCGCCTGAGCTGTTGAGGCTGCGTGCGACGGTCGCCTCGACGCTCCTGCGGCCAGCTCTCTGCAGGATTCTTAAGTGCGGGAACACGGTCCTTGCTGGGGTGTTCGTTTTCACAACGCGACTGGAGGCATTTGGATGCTAAGCGGCTCTGTTTGTCGTAGGTGTCGGCTGCAAACCGTCCACGTTTCACGTCCATGGAGGAGTGCGGAAGCACACAGCCCGCCGCTCGGTATGCCGCAACTTTGGGGTGGAGGTTACCGTTGCTGAAAAACCCTCCAACCCGAGTCGTCCAAAGGGGGGCGAGGCCTGCGTGATCCGGTGCTGGATGTTCCCGGCGGACGTCGCGGTCTTCCGAGGGGAACGATGGCGAGCGTGGAGTCCGAGATGGGGAATGCGGCTGGTCCAGGCGGAGGCTCGGATGACCACTGACCTAGCGCCTCTGTTGCTTTGGGATGTTAACAGACGGCCTCCATTCAGCTGCACACTCTCACAGCTGCAGCCGGGGTGGGTTGTGGCTTGCGGAGCTTCAGGGTGCTTGCCACCAGAGCGAAGTCATCCGCATACTGGAGCTCAAGTGGACGCTCAGATTCAAATCTCTGCGGCTGCTTGGAGCCTCCTGATGTCGAAAAGTTTCCCATCCAACCTGAAGTCCCGGGGTCACCCCACTCTCCGTTTCCATGTCCTTGTGGAGTAATGTTGTGATGCGTAGGAGGACGCCATTGAATGGGACCGGCTCAGTTACAGAAACCTCACCCTCACAGCGATGCCCACCCCAACGGGTTCATACTCCTGACCTACAACCGTTACTCCGGCCATGTTCACACAAAGACCCACAGACTCATGCAGAAACCCACAGACTCATACACAGACCCACAGACTCACACAGAAACCCATAGAATCACACACAAACTCAGACTCACATAGAAACCCATACTATACACTACACTACACACTACTACACTACACTATACACTACTACACTACACACTACTACACTATACACTACTACACTATACACTACACTATACACTACACTATACACTACCCAATGAGTGGCTTGTGGTGGGGGGGGGGGTGGGGGGTGTTGAGGTTGAGGAGCTCACCGCTGACGCAGCCTGCGGCCACCAGGAGCAGCAGCAGCCACGTGACAGGGTTCATGTCGCCTGCACGTGGGAGGAGTGACGTCACAATCACCACCACACAGACACAGACAAAGGTCCCCCGTGTAGCCTGTGACAAGCTGTAGGGGCAAGTGCTGTTAGTTAGTAGCTAGTAGCAGCAGCGTCTATGAAGGCTACCGGCGCTGTGGCTACACACAGAAGGGGTGGGTGGCCAGCACCACGCCCGGCCGCCTTTGTCTTCCCAGCGGCGATGTTTACTCCACCAGGTACTCATTTGAGGCCGAGTCGACCTAGGGGAGGCCCAGGACCAGTTCAAATAATTGTCACTGTTGGTGGCCGTGATCGGGATCAAACCTGGGTTGCCAGGTTTGTAGCGCAGCGTAGCGCTAACCACTACACTACGCCTAGGCACTCACACAGACACACAACACACAACAACCGCTATTCACCACTAAGTGGTGGTGACATCACCACGACGCTTGTGCCAGGCCATGTGCACCTTGAGGCCACGTGAAGTGTCGAACGCCCACTGGCAAGGGGTCACGGGGCAGACCCAGCAGGTGCCACGGGTCGACTGACTGAGATGACCGAGATGACTGGCTGATGCACCACCTGTGCCCCCTACTGTGTCTACTTGCTGTGCTTTAGCCACCCGGCGCTCCGCTCGTTGTTGTGAGCATCGCTCCTCCGCCCTCCATTGTTGCTGGAGGGCGACTGCCTCCAACTGCCCAGTAGCGTCCTTCACGAGCCTCCTCCACAGAGGCAGATCTTGACACCGCTGGTACCGGTCATCGGCAAGTCCACTCAGCTCCACGTCCTCCTGTACCACATCACTCCATCTCTTCTCTAGCCCCCTCGATCCGGCCGAACAAAAGCTGTTTAGGCATGCGGTGGCTGGGCATGCGGGCTACATGACCCAGCCAACGCCGCCTTGCCTGCCGGAAGAGCTCACCGATGGGACTTTGCCCAGATCTTTCAAGGATTTGTGAGCTCCTCACACAATCCAGCCTGGTTAAACCCAGGTGGATCGTAGGCAGGCCAGCCTTAATATTTCCAACCGGCAAAGATGCTCCATTAGGGGGGTCCACGTTTCGCAAGCATAGAGAAGGGAGGGAATGACTGTGGCCCAGAAGACCTGAAGCTTCGTGCGGAGCGACAGACCAGGTAGCTTCCACACAGCGTTACGCAACCGATGAAAAGATATTGCCGCTCGATTGATTCAGAGTGAGACCTCTGCTGTTAAACTAGAGCCGGTCATCAGCACACTGCCAAGGCTTGGGAAACTCCCCACTCTCTCCACTACTGCCCCATCACCGATTCGGAGTTGTGGGGGTGGAGTGTCCAATGGTACAAAATACCGAGGCAGGTGCTTAGTTTTGGTGGGGTTGATGGTAAGGCCCCACCTCTTAGTGGCACGCTCCAGTCTCAGCAGCAGCGTCTCCACACACACACACTCTCTCACACACTCTCACACACACACACTCTCTCACACACTCTCACACTCTCTCTCTCACATATGTTCTCTCACACACTCTCACACACTCTCACACACTCTCACACTCTCTCTCTCACATATGTTCTCTCACATACTCTCACACACTCTCACACTCTCACTCTCTGACTCTCACGCCTGCCGTAAGTTAGGAGGGGAAACCCAACTGCAGGTTTGACATTTTGCCAACGTGAGCTGATGGCAATCTTCTGTTTGGGTCGCTCTCTCTTTCTCTCTTCCGGGAAACGGGAAAAGTCCGTGGACGGGGGGTGGGGAGAGAGAGAAGGGGGAGAGAGGGGGGGGAGAGAAGGGGGGGGGGGAAGAGAGGGGGTAGAGAGAGGGGGTATAGAGATAGGGAAAGAGTAAGGAGGAGGATCAGAGGGTGATTCTTCGTGTTGATGTTGGTGTCTACGAAGAAAGTAGCACAGGTTGATTTTGCTGCACAATGGGAAAACACGTAAAATATGTATTTAAAAAAGGAGGGGGGGGGGGAACACATAAAACAAAGCGATAAAAACAAAATACCGCAACGATGAACGAAGCAAAGTGCCAGTGAGCGCTAGGGCAAGAATGGCTGCGTGCAGGACGAGAGAGCGAGCGAGAGAGTGAGCGAGAGGTGGGGGTTTACATAAAGCAAAGTAAAAAAAAAAATTACGAAATGATGAACGAAGCAAAGTGCCGACTACACCGAGCATCTTCTTGTTTCCACTGCATCGTAAAAACAAAAGAGAGCTAGGGCTGTGAGGAAGCCAGCAGGCCTGCCGCGTAGCGAGTGTGTTTCGAGTAGAAAGGGAGACAGAGCTGGGACACAGCACGGTCCTGTGTTGTTGGAGACACTCACAGTGCTGGAGGAGAGATGAGGAGCCCTCGATGGAGCTCTGAGAGCGAAAGAGGTCACCGTGAAGCACAAAAAACTCTTTCTAGCGACGCTATGATGCAGATGAAAAACTAGGCCGTCGTTCGCGGGTCATAGAATGCTTGGAACGCAGGGAAAACGCACCCTCTTCCCAACATGCAGAGGGGGAGAGAGCGGGGTGGAGGGGTGGAAAGGGAGGGGTGGAGGTGTAGAGAGAGGGAGAGAGAGAGAGGGGTAGAGGGGGACCTGCAGGGCCTCCCACTGGGACAGCTGCTGCCACCTTTCTACAGGAGCGTCCTGCCGACGTGGAGCTCCCTCGCCGTCAGGAGGCTGAACCAGCCGCGATCGGCCGAAGATCTGGTCTTCGAACCGATCCTCAGGAACCCGCAATACAAAGCTGCCATCCACCACCACCGCCACCCCCGGCACGGAGAGGCGCCTCGCCAACACGCGGCTCACCAGAACGGGAGATCTGGTGGAGCCTGGAACACGGGGCCGGTGGCTCGGACCGGCAGACATGGCCGCAAAGACGGGGGGCTGCAGTCGCTCCGGGTGGCTGCCCGGATCCTGGCCGAAGCCAAGGGGGCCTTCTCAGCGGCAGCGGGGAGAACGCCCCCCATCGGCGTTGGGGATGACGAGGCCCCTCTCGGTCCCCTCCACCGGAGCTCTCCGTCGTGCCGCTGCATCGCCAGTGCCGACAAGTGAAGGCGGATCACGACCCGTGCCGGCTGGGAGACCTACCGGAGGTGGCCTTCGCAAATGTCAAGAGGAAGGTGCTCTACTCCTACATGGTCCGGTGTCACCAACAGGACACCCTGAGGAGCCACAAGGACCAGGCCTGGAGGAGAGCCCTGCTGCCCTGCGTGTCTCCGGAGAGGCCTCGCTGGAGGCAACTCTACTCCAGCCCGACGTACAACCGCGTCGGCGACCTCGGCTGGAGTGTCGCCCACGGCACCGTCACCGCCAACGCCTCCCTGGCGCGCTTCACCGACACGTCCCCGGAGTGCCGGTTCTGCGGTAAAGTGGAGACGGTGGCGCACCGATACGTGGAGTGCAAGAGCCTGGACTCGCTGTTCAAGGTCCTGAGAAACATCCTCCTAAAGTTCAGCCTCCACTTCTCCCCGACGGTCCTCATCTTTGGATACTCGAGGGGTGACGGACCCCAACATCTTCAGGGGCCGGTCAACGTGCTCGTCGGCTCTGCCAAGCTCGCCATATACAGGGCGAGGAAGGTGGTTGTGGAGGGGAAACGTCCGGCCAGCAGCCTGGGCATCTTCCGCGCTCTGGACGGGCAGTTTTTCCGAGCGTGGCCGACACCACCAAACCCGAAACACCATGGCACGGCCGTGGAGGCGTACACGGTGTGGACGCAGCTCTCGATCGTGTACTTGAAGGTCACGTTGAGGTCCGTGTTACTGTCCTTCAGGATCATGAAGGCTTGTCGCCGGAGCGACATGATGTGTGCCAGCTTTAGGTCCCGTTTCCTCAAAGGCAGCGTGATGTTGCGGGAGACGATCGTGCCGAACCGCTCTAGGTCTCGCTGCAGGTTGCTGCTTTTGAGGAAGGGCGGCACGTTGGAGATCAGCACACGGTGGGTGAAGAGAGAGAAGGGGTGCACTGCACAAACAGCTCCCCCCCCTTGATGTCGAGCCCCATTTCTACGAGGCGCGCCGCCGAACTTTCCTTGGCCATGTAGAAGACGACGCCACGGTTGTGTCGCTGGGCAATGAGGATGCCTGCCGACGCGCTCGACCACCGCGGCAAGGACGACCTCGATGGCGATCTCGTGTGGTGGAAGACGAATGACCGCATTCCTCCGAGGGAGAGACTCGAACTTGTCATGCGGTGCCACGATGGACGGCAGCAGTACAACGCGAGTGATGAGAAAAGTCGACGAGAGGTTTTTATTTCAAAGAGAGAAGAGGAAATAAAGATGAATATAACAGCAAGAGAGAAATAAGGAGTGCCGTGAGGGAAGGAGTGGAACAGAGAGAGAGCGAGAGCGAGGGGGTGAGGCAGAGGCCTCAGGCTGCTAAACCAACCAGACCTGGGGCATGGTGGTGCTGTTGAGACAAAGAAAAAACCACCAGAAACGCAGCAAAATTGGCAGCACCACGTGCAGTGACACATCCTCACAGTTCAGGGGAGAAGGTGGTTTGACACAATTCCATCAGCTTTCACTTGGGAGATCGATCATCTCTGCTCGGTGTCTTTCCTGGTCTCAGACTCCTGATCGCCTTCAGTACTTCCTCAACAGCTGGCACCTCAGCCAGCCACTCACGGGGGGTGACTTCTTCTTCCAATATTTGAGGCACCGCAGCCTCAGCAGGGTCATCCCCACTTTGTGCCATGATGTTTTCCATGTCAAGGGATTTCCCCTCCCCCAGGACCTCACAGAAATGCTCAGCAAATCTGCAAACCTGTTCCTGGGGGTCGGAGATTGGATCACCGTTTTTTTTTACCCTATTTATGGTAATAGGTGTGGCACGCACAGACACACGCACATACACACAATGCACACACACACACACCGACATACACACACAGATACAACAACATCATCAAGAAAAATTGCAACTATGCGGGACATTTCCGCATTGTACCCTCTCAATCCTACTCGCAGAATGACGACTACAGAACTAGAACGGACTTCAGTGACGGTGGTGGGGTGGGTGGTGGTGTGGGTGGTGGTAGTGGGTGGTGGTGGTGTGGGTGGTGGTGTGGGTGGTAGTGGGTGGTGGTGGTGATGGTGGTGTGGGTGGTGGTGATGGTGGTGTGGGTGGTGGGTGGTGGTGGTGGTGGGTGGTGGAGTGGGAGGTGGAGTGCGTGGTGGTCACAGAAGGAGTGGACATGATGGGAACGACTTTGCTGTGAATGTCCGTCGGCAACAGACTAGGAAGCCACAGCCCTGCTGATCCAAGGTGTGTAGTGTAGTGTGTAGTGTAACATGTTGTTGTGTGGTGTGTAGTGTATAATGTAGTAGTGTGGTGTAGAGTTAGTGTAGTGTGTAGTGTAAAATGTTGTTGTGTGGTGTGTAGTGTAGTGTGTAGTGAATAATGTAGTAGTGTGGTGTATCATGTAGTGTAGTAGTGTAGTGTATAGTAGTGTAGTGTATAATGTAGTAGTGTGGTGTATAGTGGTGTGTAGTGTATAGTAGTGTAGTGTATAATGTAGTAGTGTGGTGTAGAGTGTAGTGTAGTGTATAATTTAGTAGTTTGGTGTATCATGTAGTGTAGTGTGTAGTAGTGTAGTGTATAGTAGTGCGTAGTGTAGTGTATAATGTAGTAGTGTAGTGTGTAGTGTATAATGTAGTAGTGTAGTGTGTAGTGTATAATGTAGTAGTGTGGTGTATAGTGTAGTGTAGTAGTGTAGTGTATAATGTAGTAGTGTGGTGTATAGTGTTGTATAGTAGTGTAGTGTATAATGTAGTAGTGTGGTGCATCGTGTAATGTTTAATGTAGTGTATTATGTAGTGTAGTGTATAGTAGTGTGGTGCTTAGTAGTGTAGTGTACTGTGTAGTAGTAGGCTGTATAGTAGTGGTGTGTAGTGTAGTGTATCGTGTAGTGTGCAGTAGTGTAGTGTGTAGTGTATAATGTAGTAGTGTAGGGTATAGTGTCGGGTATATGTAGTGCATTGTAGTGTTTCGTGTTGTGTATACGTAGTGTATAATGTAGTGTGTAGTGTATAGTGCAGTGTATACGTAGTGTATAATGTAGTGTATAGTGTATAATGTAGTGTATAGTGTAGTGTATAATGTAGTGTATAGTGCAGTGTATACGTAGTGTATAATGTAGTGTGTAGTGTATAATGTAGTGTATAGTGCAGTGTGTAGTGTATAATGTAGTGTATAGTGTAGTGTATAATGTAGTGTATAGTGTATAATGTAGTGTGTAGTGCAGTATATACGTAGTGTATAATGTAGTGTGTAGTGTATAATGTAGTGTATAGTGTAGTGTATAATGTAGTGTATAGTGTATAATGTAGTGTGTAGTGCAGTATATACGTAGTGTATAATGTAGTGTATAGTGTATAATGTAGTGTATAGTGCAGTGTATACGTAGTGTATAATGCAGTGTATAGTGTAGTGTATTATGTAGTGTATAGTGCAGTGTATACGTAGTGTGTAATGTGTAGTGTATAATGTAGTGTGTAGTGTATAATGTAGTTTATAGTGTGTAGTGTATAATGTAGTGTATAGTGCAGTGGATACGTAGTGTATACGTAGTGTATAGTGTATAATGTAGTGTATAGTGTAGTGTAGTATATAATGTAGTGTATAGTGTGTAGTGTAGTATATAATATAGTGTGTAGTGTATAGTGTAGTGTACAGTGCAGTGTATAGTGCAGTGTATAGTGTAGTATAGTGTGTAGTGTACAGTGTAGTGTATAGTGTAGTAGTGTATACTGTAGTGTATACTGTAGTGTATAGTGTCTAGTGTAGTGTATAGGGTCTAGTGTAGTGTATAGTGTAGTGTATAGTGTAGTGTATAGTGTAGTAGTGTATAGTGTAGTGTAGTAGTGTATAGTGTAGTAGTGTATAGTGTAGTGTATAGTGTAGTGTATAGTGTAGTAGTGTATAGTGTAGTGTAGTAGTGTATAGTGTAGTAGTGTATAGTGTAGTAGTGTATAGTGTAGTAGTGTATAGTGTAGTAGTGTATAGTGTAGTAGTGTATAGTGTAGTGTATAGTGTAGTGTATAGTGTAGTAGTGTATAGTGTAGTGTAGTAGTGTATAGTGTAGTAGTGTATAGTGTAGTAGTGTATAGTGTAGTAGTGTAGTGTAGTAGTGTATAGTGTAGTGTATAGTGTAGTAGTGTATAGTGTAGTGTATAGTGCAGTAGTGTATAGTGTAGTAGTGTATAGTGTAGTAGTGTATAGTGTAGTAGTGTATAGTGTAGTAGTGTATAGTGTAGTGCAGGGGTCGGCAACCTATGGCTCCGGAGCCGCATGCAGCTCTTTACGGGCTGCTTCTTGACGATATGTACGTATGTACAGTATGTACTCAGATGCATTGCGGCTCTTGAAATACTGAATTTTGTACCGAATTGGAAAGAAATGGCTCTTCTTGTTATTTTGGTTGCCGACCCCTGGTGTAGTGTATAGTGTGTAGTATATAATGTAGTGTACAGTGCAGTGTATACATTGCCAAGTTCACTAATGGGAGGTCCGGAACCCCTGCAGGTGGCGTCTTGGGTCGTGGTCACGAAGAGCTGTGATGGGTGAGTGGCTGAGTGAGTGAGTGGGTGAGTGAGTGAGCGAGTGAGTGGGTGAGTGAGCGAGTGGGTGAGTGAGCGAGTGAGTGGGTGAGTGGGTGAGTGAGTGAGTGGGTGAGTGGGTTAGTGAGCGAGTGAGTGGGTGAGTGAGCGAGTGGGTGAGTGAGCGAGTGAGTGGGTGAGTGGGTGAGTGGGTGAGCGAGTGGCTGAGTGAGTGGGTGAGTGGGTGAGTGAGTGGCTGAGTGAGTGGGTGAGTGGGTGAGTGGGTGAGCGAGTGGCTGAGTGAGTGGGTGAGTGGGTGAGTGAGTGGCTGAGTGAGTGGGTGAGTGGGTGAGTGGGTGAGCGAGTGGCTGAGTGAGTGGGTGAGTGGGTGAGTGAGTGGCTGAGTGAGTGGGTGAGTGGGTGAGTGAGCGAGTGGGTGAGTGAGCGAGTGAGTGGGTGAGTGAGCGAGTGGGTGAGTGAGCGAGTGAGTGGGTGAGTGAGTGGCTGAGTGAGTGGGTGAGTGGGTGAGCGAGTGGGTGAGTGAGTGGCTGAGTGAGTGGCTGAGTGAGTGAGTGGCTGAGTGAGTGAGTGGGTGAGCGAGTGGCTGAGTGAGTGAGTGGCTGAGTGAGTGAGTGGCTGAGTGAGTGAGTGGGTGAGCGAGTGGCTGAGTGAGTGAGTGGCTGAGTGGGTGAGTGGGTGAGTGAGTGGCTGAGTGAGTGGGTGAGTGAGTGAGTGGCTGAGTGAGTGAGTGGCTGAGTGAGTGAGTGAGAACTGAAGACAGAGACACGGAGCCACGGAGGAGCGACAGAAGCATGGCCCATTATTCGCGAGGTAAACGAAACCTCAGTTCCCCTCACTTCATTCATCTCTCTTTCGTCTCCTTGTTCTGTCCGGGCTGGCTGATGTAGATGCAGTGTTGAGTCTATGGGCAGTGTTGAGTCTATGGGTAGTGTTGAGTCTATGGGCAGTGTTGAGTCTATGGGCAGTGTTGAGTCTATGGGCAGTGTTGAGTCTATGGGCAGTGTTGAGTCTATGGGCAGTGTTGAGTCTATGGGCAGTGTTGAGTCTATGGGCAGTGTTGAGTCTATGGGCAGTGTTGAGTCTATGGTGCAGTGTTGAGTCTATGGGTAGTGTTGAGTCTATGGGCAGTGTTGAGTCTATGGTGCAGTGTTGAGTCTATGGGTAGTGTTGAGTCTATGGTGCAGTGTTGAGTGTTGAGTCTATGGTGCAGTGTTGAGTCTAGGGTTTGGCAGTGTTGAGTCCCTATGGTGCAGTGTGTTGAGTCTATGGGCAGGTTGAGTCTATGGTGCATGTGTTGAGTCTATGGGCAGTGTTGAGTCTATGGGTAGTGTTGAGTCTATGGGCAGTGTTGAGTCTATGGGCTAGTGTTGAGTCTATGGGCAGTGTTGAGTCTATGGGGCATGTTGAGTCTATGGGTAGTGTTTGAGTCTATGGGCAGTGTTGAGTCGATTGGGCCTATGTTGAGTCTATGGGTAGTGTTGAGTCTATGGGGCAAATGTTGCAGTCTCTGGGTAGTGTTGAGTCTATGTGGCAATGTTGGAGTCTATGGGCTAGTGTTGAGTCTATGGGCAATGTGGAGTCTCTTCTCTGGGTAGTGTTGAGTCTAATGGGGCAATGTTGAGTCTATGGGGCTAGGTTGAGTCTATGGGGCAAATGTTGAGTCTATGGGGCAAATGGTTGAGTCTATGGGGCAATGTTGCAGTATGGGGCAATGGGGGGGTCTGGTCTATGGGCAATGTTGAGTCTATGGGCAGTGTTGAGTCTATGGGGCAGTGTTGAGTCTATGGGCAGTGTTGAGTCTATGGGCAGTGTTGAGTCTATGGGCAGTGTTGAGTCTATGGGTAGTGTTGAGTCTATGGGCAGTGTTGAGTCTATGGGCAGTGTTGAGTCTATGGGCAATGTTGAGTCTATGGTGCAGTGTTGAGTCTATGGGTAGTGTTGAGTCTATGGGCAGTGTTGAGTCTATGGTGCAGTGTTGAGTCTATGGGTAGTGTTGAGTCTATGGTGCAGTGTTGAGTCTATGGGCAGTGTTGAGTCTATGGTGCAGTGTTGAGTCTATGGGCAGTGTTGAGTCTATGGGCAGTGTTGAGTCTATGGGCAGTGTTGAGTCTATGGGTAGTGTTGAGTCTATGGGCAGTGTTGAGTCTATGGGCAGTGTTGAGTCTATGGGCAGTGTTGAGTCTATGGGGCAATGTTGAGTCTATGGGCAGTGTTGAGTCTATGGGCAGTGTTGAGTTTATGGGCAGTGTTGAGTCTATGGGCAGTGTTGAGTCTATGGGGCAATGTTGAGTCGATGGGTAGTGTTGAGTCTATGGGGCAATGTTGAGTCTATGGGTAGTGTTGAGTCTATGGGGCAATTTTGAGTCTATGGGCAGTGTTGAGTCTATGGGGCAATGTTGAGTCTCTGGGTAGTGTTGAGTCTATGGGGCAATGTTGAGTCTATGGGGCAATGTTGAGTCTATGGGGCAATGTTGAGTCTATGGGGCAATGTTGAGTCTATGGGTGGCAGTGCTGGGTCTATTGGGCAATGTTGAGTCTATGGGCAGTGTTGAGTCTATGGGGCAATGTTGAGTCTATGTGTAGTGTTGAGTCTATGGGTAGTGTTGAGTCTATGGTGCAGTGTTGAGTCTATGGGTAGTGTTGAGTCTATGGTGCAGTGTTGAGTCTATGGGCAGTGTTGAGTCTATGGTGCAGTGTTGAGTCTATGGGGCAATGTTGAGTCTATGGGGCAATGTTGAGTCTATGGGGCAATGTTGAGTCTATGGGTAGTGTTGAGTCTATGGTGCAGTGTTGAGTCTATGGGCAGTGTTGAGTCTATGGGGCAATGTTGAGTCTATGGGGCAATGTTGAGTCTATGGGGCAATGTTGAGTCTATGGGGCAATGTTGAGTCTATGGGTAGTGTTGAGTCTATGGGCAGTGTTGAGTCTATGGGACAATGTTGAGTCTATGGGCAGTGTTGAATCTATGGGGCAATGTTGAATCTATGGGGCAATGTTGAGTCTATGGGGCAATGTTGAGTCTATGGGGCAATGTTGAGTCTATGGGTAGTGTTGAGTCTATGGGCAGTGTTGAGTCTATGGGACAATGTTGAGTCTATGGGCAGTGTTGAATCTATGGGGCAATGTTGAGTCTATGGGGCAATGTTGAGTCTTTGGGTAGTGTTGAGTCTATGGGGCAATGTTGAGTCTATGGGGCAATGTTGAGTCTATGGCAGTGTTGAGTCTATGGGCCAATGTTGAGTCTATGGGTAGTGTTGAGTCTATGGGGCAATGTTGAGTCTATGGGTAGTGTTGAGTCTATGGGGCAATGTTGAGTCTCTGGGCAGTGTTGAGTCTATGGGGCAATGTTGAGTCTCTGGGTAGTGTTGAGTCTATGGGGCAATGTTGAGTCTATGGGGCAATGTTGAGTCTATGGGGCAATGTTGAGTCTATGGGGCAATGTTGAGTCTATGGGGCAATGTTGAGTCTATGGGTAGTGTTGAGTCTATGGGGCAATGTTGAGTCTATGGGCAGTGTTGAGTCTATGGGGCAATGTTGAGTCTATGGGTAGTGTTGAGTCTATGGGTAGTGTTGAGTCTATGGGTAGTGTTGAGTCTATGGGGCAATGTTGAGTCTATGGGGCAATGTTGAGTCTATGGGGCAATGTTGAGTCTATGGGGCAATGTTGAGTCTATGGGTAGTGTTGAGTCTATGGGCAATGTTGAGTCTATGGGGCAATGTTGAGTCTCTGGGCAGTGTTGAGTCTATGGGGCAATGTTGAGTCTATGGGCAGTGTTGAGTCTATGGGGCAATGTTGAGTCTCTGGGTAGTGTTGAGTCTATGGGGCAATGTTGAGTCTATGGGGCAATGTTGAGTCTATGGGGCAATGTTGAGTCTATGGGTAGTGTTGAGTCTATGGGGCAATGTTGAGTCTATGGGCAGTGTTGAGTCTATGGGGCAATGTTGAGTCTATGGGTAGTGTTGAGTCTATGGGTAGTGTTGAGTCTATGGGGCAATGTTGAGTCTATGGGGCAATGTTGAGTCTATGGGGCAATGTTGAGTCTATGGGGCAATGTTGAGTCTATGGGTAGTGTTGAGTCTATGGGGCAATGTTGAGTCTATGGGTAGTGTTGAGTCTATGGGCAATGTTGAGTCTATGGGGCAATGTTGAGTCTGTGGGCAATGTTGAGTCTATGGGCAATGTTAGTCTATGTGGGAAATGTTAGTCTATGGGCAATGTGAGTCTATGGGCAATGTTAGTCTATGGGCAATGTTAGTCTTTGGGCAATGTTAGTCTATGGGGCAGGGCAATGTTAGTCTATGGGCAGTGTTAGTCTATGGGCAGTGTTAGTCTATGGGCAATGTTAGTCTATGGGCAATGTTAGTCTATGGGCAATGTTAGTCTATGGGCAATGTTAGTCTATGGGCAATGTTAGTCTATGGGCAATGTTAGTCTATGGGCTGCTGTAGATGCAGACAGCTCCTGCTCTGGCTACCGATGTCATGGTGTAGAGAGACACACACACAGACTGACACACACACACACAGACACACACAGACTGACACACACACACAGACTGACACACACACACACAGACTGACACACACACAGACACACACACACACACACAGACTGACACACACACTCACACACAGACAAAGATAAAGACAAAGATCCCCCGTATAGCCTTAACAGACTGGAGGGGCAAGTGCTGTTAGCGAGCACCTATGAAGGCCGGAACGGTACACGAGGGGGTGGGTGGCCAGCACCACGCCCGACCGCCTTTGTCTCCCCAGTGGCGATGTTTACATACCGCACCAGGTACTCATTTAAGGCTGAGTCGACCTAGGGGAGGCCCGGGACCGGTTCAGATAATCGTCACATGGTGTTAGCCGTGAGCGGGAATCGAACCCGGGTCGCCAGGTTCATAGCGCAGCGCGCTAACCGCTACACTACCGCTCCCCACACAGACACACACAGACTGACACACACACTCACAGACACACACAGACAGACAAACACAGACTGCAAATAGGCAGCAGCAGGCATCGTCAGGGTCCGAGATCGAACCCACGACCTCCTGTAGACCAGGCGAGGCAGTCAACATCTCACAGGGTCCGAGATCAAACCCACGACCTCCTGTAGACCAGGCGAGGCAGTCAACATATCACAGGGTCCGAGATCAAACCCACGACCTCCTGTAGACCAGGCGAGGCAGTCAACATATCACAGGGTCCGAGATCGAACCCACGACCTCCTGTAGACCAGGCGAGGCAGTCAACATCTCACAGGGTCCAAGATCGAACCCACGACCTCCTGTATACCAGGCGAGGCAGTCAACATCTCACAGGGTCCGAGATCGAACCCACGACCTCCTGTAGACCAGACGAGGCAGTCAACATCTCACAGGGTCTAGGATCGAACCCACGACCTCCTGTAGACCAGGCGAGGTAGTCAACATCTCACAGGGTCCGAGATCGAACCCATGACCTCCTGTAGACCAGGCGAGGCAGTCAACATCTCACAGGGTCCGAGATCGAACCCAAGACCTCCTGTAGACCAGGCGAGGTAGTCAACATCTCACAGGGTCTGGGATCGAACCCACGACCTCCTGTAGACCAGACGAGGCAGTCAACATCTCACAGGGTCTAGGATCGAACCCACGACCTCCTGTAGACCAGGCGAGGTAGTCAACATCTCACAGGGTCCGAGATCGAACCCATGACCTCCTGTAGACCAGGCGAGGCAGTCAACATCTCACAGGGTCCGAGATCGAACCCAAGACCTCCTGTAGACCAGGCGAGGCAGTCAACATCTCACAGGGTCCAAGATCGAACCCACGACCTCCTGTAGACCAGACGAGGCAGTCAACATCTCACAGGGTCTGGGATCGAACCCACGACCTCCTGTATACCAGGCGAGGTAGTCAACATCTCACAGGGTCCGAGATCGAACCCAGGACCTGCTGTAGACCAGGCGAGGTAGTCAACATCTCACAGGGTCTGGGATCGAACCCACGACCTCCTGTAGACCAGGCGAGGCAGTCAACATCTCACAGGGCCCAAGATCGAACCCACGACCTCCTGTAGACCAGGCGAGGTAGTCAACATCTCACAGGGTCCGAGATCGAACCCACGACCTGCTGTAGACCAGGCGAGGTAGTCAACATCTCACAGGGTCTGGGATCGAACCCACGACCTCCTGTAGACCAGGCGAGGCAGTCAACATCTCACAGGGTCCAAGATCGAACCCACGACCTCCTGTAGACCAGGCGAGGTAGTCAACATCTCACAGGGTCCGAGATCGAACCCACGACCTGCTGTAGACCAGGCGAGGTAGTCAACATCTCACAGGGTCTGGGATCGAACCCACGACCTCCTGTAGACCAGGCGAGGCAGTCAACATCTCACAGGGTCCAAGATCGAACCCACGACCTCCTGTAGACCACGCGAGGCAGTCAACATTTCACAGGGTCCGAGATCGAACCCACGACCTCCTGTAGACCAGGCGAGGTAGTCAACATCTCACAGGGTCCGAGAGCGAACCCACGACCTCCTGTAGACCAGGCGAGGCAGTCAACATCTCACAGGGTCTGGGATCGAACCCACAACCTCCTGTAGACCAGGCGAGGTAGTCAACATCTCACAGGGTCCGAGATCAAACCCACGACCTCATGTATACCAGGCGAGGCAGTCAACATCTTCCAGGGTCTGGGATCGAACCCACGACCTCCTGTAGACCAGGCGAGGTAGTCAACATCTCACAGGGTCCGGGATCGAACCCACGACCTCCTGTAGACCAGGCGAGGCAGTCAACATCTCACAGGGTCCGAGATCGAACCCACGACCTCCTGTATACCAGGCGAGGCAGTCAACATCTCACAGGGTCCGAGATCGAACCCACGACCTCCTGTAGACCACGCGAGGCAGTCAACATCTCACAGGGTCCGAGATCGAACCCACGACCTCCTGTAGACCAGGCGAGGTAGTCAACATCTCACAGGGTCTGGGATCGAACCCACGACCTGCTGTAGACCAGGCGAGGTAGTCAACATCTCACAGGGTCTGGGATCGAACCCACGACCTCCTGTAGACCAGGCGAGGCAGTCAACATCTCACAGGGTCCAAGATCGAACCCACGACCTCCTGTAGACCAGGCGAGGTAGTCAACATCTCACAGGGTCTGGGATCGAACCCACGACCTCCTGTAGACCAGGCGAGGCAGTCAACATCTCACAGGGTCCAAGATCGAACCCACGACCTCCTGTAGACCACGCGAGGCAGTCAACATCTCACAGGGTCCGAGATCGAACCCACGACCTCCTGTACGCCAGGCGAGGTAGTCAACATCTCACAGGGTCCGAGAGCGAACCCACGACCTCCTGTAGACCAGGCGAGGCAGTCAACATCTCACAGGGTCCGAGAGCGAACCCACGACCTCCTGTAGACCAGGCGAGGCAGTCAACATCTCACAGGGTCTGGGATCGAACCCACGACCTCCTGTAGACCAGGCGAGGTAGTCAACATCTCACAGGGTCCGAGATCAAACCCACGACCTCATGTAGACCAGGCGAGGCAGTCAACATCTCACAGGGTCCGGGATCGAACCCACGACCTCCTGTAGACCAGGCGAGGCAGTCAACATCTCACAGGGTCTGGGATCGAACCCACGACCTCCTGTAGACCAGGCGAGGCAGTCAACATCGCGTAACCTCCCGTGCAGTGACGCAATGGGAATGTCCCTGAGTTGCGTGAAATGAGGAAGTTGAGTGCAACCCCCCAGAGGCTTCAAAAATTGTGGTTATTTTACATTCCTGAGAGGTCAATGTTACGTCCATGCAAATCAGACGTTCCGCTGACGTTGGAGATGAACATTTGTCCTTTTTTAGATATGCCGCGTGGCCCTAAACTCAGGGCACAAAGAGTTGTTACTATTCTACAGGGTGGGCTAAAGGTCAGGACATATAGCGTTGCTGTTATACAGCAGCAGGCATTGTCAGGGTCACGGGATTGAACCCACAACCTCCTGTAGACCAGGCGAGGTAGTCAACATCTCACAGGGTCTGGGATTGAACCCACGACCTCCTGTAGACCAGGCGAGGTAGTCAACATCTCACAGGGTCTGGGATTGAACCCACGACCTCCTGAACACCAGGCGAGGTAGTCAACATCTCACAGGGTCACGGGATTGAACCCACGACCTCCTGTAGACCAGGCGAGGTAGTCAGCATCTCACAGGGTCTGGGATTGAACCCACGACCTCCTGCAGACCAGGCGAGGTAGTTAACATCTCACAGGGTCACGGGATTGAACCCACGACCTCCCGTAGACCAGGCGAGGTAGTTAACATCTCACAGGTCTGGGATTGAACCCACGACCTCCTGTAGACCAGGCGAGGTAGTCAACATCTCACAGGGTCTGGGATTGAACCCACGACCTCCTGAACACCAGGCGAGGTAGTCAACATCTCACAGGGTCACGGGATTGAACCCACGACCTCCTGTAGACCAGGCGAGGTAGTCAACATCTCACAGGGTCTGGGATTGAACCCACGACCTCCTGCAGACCAGGCGAGGTAGTTAACATCTCACAGGGTCACGGGATTGAACCCACGACCTCCCGTAGACCAGGCGAGGTAGTTAACATCTCACAGGTCTGGGATTGAACCCACGACCTCCTGTAGACCAGGCGAGGTAGTCAACATCTCACAGGGTCTGGGATTGAACCCACGACCTCCTGAACACCAGGCGAGGTAGTCAACATCTCACAGGGTCACGGGATTGTGTGAGTGTCTGTGTGTGTCTGTGTGTGTGTGTGTGTGTCTGTGTGTGTCTGTGTGTGTCTGTGTGTGTGTCTGTGTGTGTGTCTGTGTGTGTCTGTGTGTGTCTGTGTGTGTCTGTGTGTCTGTGTGTCTGTGTGTCTGTGTGTGTGAGTATCTGTGTGTGAGTGTGTGTGTGTGTGTCTGTACGTGTATGTGTGTGTTTTGGCGTGGTGGTGCTGTCCACCCACCCCCTCTGTGTGTAGCCACGGTGCCGGTAGCCTCCACAGGCGCTGCCGCTACTCGCTACTCGCTACTCACAGCCACTTGCACCCTACGGTCCGCTGAGGCTACAACAAGCGGCGGGAATCTACGACCTTTTCTCCTTTGCAGGCAACCAAACGGTGAAGCTGATTCGCTGGGAGAAGCCCGTTCTGAAGACGATCCTGAGCCGGGACGTCTCGTTCTTCCTCGACGCGCTGGACCGGCACGAATTCATCACGAGGCCCATTTACCACCGCGCCAAGGACATGCCGGTCCAGGAGGACAGCGCCAACTTCATCCTCGACCACTTCATCGACGGCGGGGAGACCGCATGCCAGAATCTGCTGAGCGTCTTAAAGGAAATCCACAAGCACTACCCACCGCTCAAGGACTGGTTGGACAGGCTGTGTACGTAATCCTCTCGCCTTAGAACAGCAGCGGCAGCAGCGGCAGCGGCGAATGTTTCTATCGCCGATTCTTGCACTTGTATTGCCGCGGCAACGGTGGCTAGGAGTGGTGAGATGTTAACTACCTCGCCTGGTGCACAGGAGGTCGTGAGTTCGATCCCAGACCCTGACGCCTGCTGCTGTATATCTGGAGTCTGCATCTCTCTCTCCCCATGGTCGCGTGGATTTTTCTCCGGGTCCTCCGGTTTTTCCTCCACATTTATACTCAACGTCAGCACGCGTTTTAAGATTAATTTGGCTGCTGCTCTGAATTCCCACGTGACTTTACCGAAAGAAATGAAGAGTCATAAAAACTAGTTGCGACTCTTCGTGGCTTATCAGCCCCCCCCTGTAATGGTTCCCGCAATAAACCGGGAGGAACCCCCTCACCGTGTGATGATCTGTGATTGGTTGGTACGGAGATGAGGAGACACGGTCCGAGGTGTGACGATGCGTGACTGGTCGCTGGGAATGAGGTGACAGTGATGAGGTGACAGTGATGAGGGAATGAGAGAGGGGACAGTGGGGACAAGAGAAGAGGGAGCTGTGGATGGAGAGAGCTGTGGATGAAGGAGAGAGCTGTGGATGAAGGAGAGAGCTGTGGATGAAGGAGAGAGCTGTGGGTGAAGGAGAGAGCTGTGGATGAAGGAGAGAGCTGTGGGTGAAGGAGAGAGCTGTGGGTGAAGGAGAGAGCTGTGGATGAAGGAGAGAGCTGTGGGTGAAGGAGAGAGCTGTGGATGAAGGAGAGAGCTGTGAAGGAGAGAGCTGTGGGTGAAGGAGGGAGCTGTGGATGAAGGAGAGAGCTGTGGATGAAGGAGGGAACTGTGGGTGAAGGAGGGAGCTGTGGGTGAAGGAGGGAGCTGTGGATGAAGGAGGGAGCTGTGGGTGAAGGAGAGAGCTGTGGATGAAGGAGAGAGCTGTGGATGAAGGAGAGAGCTGTGGGTGAAGGAGAGAGCTGTGGGTGAAGGAGGGAGCTGTGGATGAAGGAGGGAGCTGTGGGTGAAGGAGAGAGCTGTTGATGAAGGAGGGAGCTGGGGTGAAGGAGGGAGCTGTGGATGAAGGAGAGAGCTGTGGATGAAGGAGAGAGCTGTGGGGTGAAGGAGAGAGCTGCTGGTGAAGGAGGGAGCTGTGGATGAAGGAGGGAGCTGTGGATGAAGGAGGGAGCTGTGGGTGAAGGAGGGAGCTGTGGATGAAGGAGGGAGCTGTGGGTGAAGGAGGGAGCTGTGGATGAAGGATGAGAGCTGTGGATGAAGGAGAGAGCTGTGGGTGAAGGAAGAGAGCTGTGGGGAAGGAGGGAGCTGTGGATGAAGGAGGGAGCTGTGGGAGTGAAGCTGTAAGGAGAGAGCTGTGGATGAAGGAGAGAGCTGTGGGTGAAGGAGAGAGCTGTGGATGAAGGAGAGAGCTGTGGGTGAAGGAGAGAGCTGTGGGTGAAGGAGAGAGCTGTGAAGGAGAGAGCTGTGGGTGAAGGAGGGGAGCTGTGGATGAAGGAGAGAGCTGTGGGTGAAGGAGAGAGCTGTGGGTGAAGGAGGGAGCTGTGGATGAAGGAGAGAGCTGTGGATGAAGGAGAGAGCTGTGGGTGAAGGAGGGAGCTGTGGATGAAGGAGAGAGCTGTGGATGAAGGAGGGAGCTGTGGGTGAAGGAGAGAGCTGTGGGTGAAGGAGAGAGCTGTGGATGAAGGAGAGAGCTGTGGGTGAGGAGGGAGCTGTGGATGAAGGAGGGAGCTGTGGATGAAGGAGGAGCTGTGGGTGAAGGAGAGAGCTGTGGGTGAAGGAGAGAGCTGTGGATGAAGGATGAGAGCTGTGGGTGAAGGAGAGAGCTGTGGGTGAAGGAGAGAGCTGTCGATGAAGGAGGGAGCTGTGGATGAAGGAGGGAGCTGTGGATGAAGGAGAGATTAATGATGGAGTGCTGAGTGTAGAGATTTCTCTGCGAAGGTTGTGGTGGTGTAAATTAGAAAGATCAGTCCAAACGTGTTTGTGTTTGTTTGGTTGGTAGTGGTTGTGTCCTGGTTGATTCTTGATCTGCATGAGGTTTGTTTGTGTTGTTTTTGCCTTGTATGCCAACTCGACCATGACGACGACGATGATGATGATCGTGAAGCATTACGCGGTGAATGTAATCGATCGTGATGTCTTGCAGCACCTCCAGGTGAAACGAATTCGGTGACGTTCTTCCAAATCCTCCACGAGCTCAACCTGAGCCAATGCTACGGGGACAAGATGCAACGGGGCGACGAGGACAAGATGCAACGGGCCGACGAGGACAAGATGCGATGGCGCTACGGGGACAAGATGCGACGCCGCGACGTCGTCACTCTGAGCAGGCGGCGCAAGCATCCCAGCTCGCTGGAGGAGGTCGCGCGACACTTTGTGCAGGACGTGATGATGACGAACCCCGAGTCCCGGAGCGCCAGCACCGCCCGCGCCGCGCGCAGGGCCAGCTCCGCGAGCGCCAGCGACAGGATCTCGGACGGCTTCATCAACCCGCTGGATCTGGAGGTCGCGGTCCTGCTGTGCGCCGACCACCCGCTGCAGGACGACCTGATGCACAAGATGTCCGCGTGCCGCTTCGCGCTGCCCCTACTGCTGCCCGACGCGGGACGGGGGGTCGTCACGCTGAAGCTGTGCGCCGCGCGGCACGTCGCGAGGCAGTGGAGGGGTTGGCAGATCTCGACGCGGCGGACAGGTTGGCGGGACGCCCGCGGCGACGGGCGCTCCCCGGCGCTGGTCCTGCGCATGCCGTGCGTGGCGTTCGCTCGCTTCGGCCGCGGCGGGTGGCGGCTCCAAATCGGAGCTGCTCAACTTGATCGTCGGCGGTCGGGGCCACGAGGCGTTCGTCCACCGCGACACGGCGCAGGGCGACGTGCCCCGGGTGGTTGCCGACGGGCTGGTGGAGATCTCGCCGTACTTCCCGGGCGCCGAGGCGGACGCGGAGGAGGAGGAGGACGCTCGGAGCCCCTTCTGCGCCCTGAACCTGCGCGGCGACGCCGCCGACAGCCGCCTCGAGAGGCAGTTCGGCTTTCTGCGGGCGGCGTCCGTCGCGACGTTCCTCTTTGTCGGCGGCGACGTCGTCCGGAAGAGCGCGGAGCGTTGCCGGGCCTTGCTGGCGGGCGCGGCGACGCCGGTGTTCCTGCTCACCGACTTCGAGGACGGGGAGGACGCCGAGTCGGCGGTGAGCGGCATCCTCTCGACGCTGCCGGGGACGAAGGTCGCGGACGTCAATCGGCGCGGCCAGAACAAGGCCTCCTTCGCGAGCAGACTGCGCTCCAAGATCGCCACCCTGCTCGCGAACACGCGGACGGCGGGCAGCACGCCCGCGGAGATGGAGCGCCTCGCCCGGGAGCGGGGCATCCAAGTCGACGGCTGGCCCGGCTCGCCCGCGGCCGACGAGGTCGTGTCCGAGGTGGCCGACCTCGGCGTCGCCCTCTACAAGCGGGAGCGCCTCCCCCGCCAGGGCGGCAAGCGGCCGAGCCGCCCGGGGCGGAGGGACGACCCCCGCCTCGGCGTCCGCGCGTCCGGGGCTCGGCTCGCCGCGCCCACGTTTCTGCGGCGGCTCCTGGAGGAGCCCGCGGACGACCCCGCGGCCTTCCTGCGGCGGCTGGCCGTCGAGCTGGACGAGCGCTCCGCCGTCGTGCTGTCGCTCGCCGGGCGGGACGAGGCCGCGCGGGACAGCTGCCTGGGAGCGGAGCACTTCCTGCGGGAGGTGGCGTGGGCCTACGAGGCGGCCTACGAGGCGGCCTACAAGGCGGCCTACGAGGCGGCCCGCGGCGTCGTCGGCGGCGTCTCGGGCGACGACGACGACGACTTGCGGCGGGCGCCGGAGATCGGCGCCCGGCTGCTCCTGAGCGGCTCCCCGCTGGAGCTGGTGGACGTCGACGGGGGCAGCGTGCCCGCCAAGTGGCTCGCCGACGTCCTGGGGGCGGCGGGCCGCGAGCTCGGGGACCCGACGGTCTTCGTGCTCTCGGCGCTGGGCCCCCACCGCGCCGAGACGTTCGCGCTGCTCAACACGACGCTCGGCTCCCGCTTCCCGGCGGGCGGCGGCGGAGCGGGCGGGGGGGCGGTCCGCGGAGCCTTCGCGACGCTCGTGGCCGTCGAGGGGGGGGGCGACGCAGCGGCGGCCCCCGGCTACGTGCTCGCCGTCAGCGTCGAGGGGCTGGCGTCGCCCGGGCCGGCGAGCCCCGAGCGCGACGGCGAGCTGGTCGCGTTCGCGATCGCCGTGAGCCACGTCGCCCTCGTGATCCTGGAGGGGAACGCGGGGGGGGAGGACTCCCTGGAGGGCGACGTCGTCCGGGCGCTCCTCCGAACGGGGGGGAGGCAACGCAAGGAAGCCGCCTGCATCTTCGTCCGCCAGAACTCGGGCGGGGTGCCGGCGTGCGTCGAGAAGGCGAGGGAGCGGGCGCTGCTAAAGCGGTTCGCCGCCGTGACCCTGGCGGGCAAGGAGGGCGACGAGGGCTCGCGCGGTCGTCTTGCGGACGTCGTGGGGCACTCCGAGAACTACTTGTACCTGCCAAGCCCGTGGCACGGGACTCCGCCGATGGCCGCGGTTAGCGCCGAGTACGTTCAGGGCGTGCGGCACCTGAGGAGCCGTCTGATGGAGCGCGTGCAACGAGTCGCGGCGCCGGGGAGGGTGAGGCTGTCGACGCTGGCGCGGCTGGTAGAGCAGGCGTGGAATGACGTGAAGAGGGAGGGAGCTCTTTCCACGGACACAGACGGCTCGTAGTAGGCGATGTCGCGGGCGGTATCCGGCGTTGGCGGCGAGGGGGTGGGTGGGGTTTGGCTCAGAGGTTATTTTGCCGCCGCGACGGAGCTAATCGCGACGCTCGCGTCAAAAGGATAATTGCGCCCCCCCCAGCGTGACGCGAAAAGAATCGGTAGGAGAGTTTTTTTTTCCCCTTTATGGCTGTCACCTGATGAAGTTGGTTGTTGTTACTGGCGAAATGTAACGGTGCTCAGATTGTAAATGTTGTGGCTTGGCTCTCCAACACACAGGTGTGGTGCTGTACTAGTACACTACCCTGTATACTACACTATACACTACACTACTATACACTATATACTACACTACTATACACTACACTATACTACTCAACACTACACTACTATACACTACCCTGTATACTACACTATACACTACACTACTATACACTATACTATACTACACTATACTACTATACACTACACTACTATACACTACACTACTATACACTACACTATACACTACACTACTATACACTACACTATACTACTCAACACTACACTACTATACACTACACTACTATACACTATACACTACACTACTATACACTACACTACTATACACTACACTATACTACTCAACACTACCCTACTATACACTACCCTGTATACTACACTATATACTACACTACTATACACTATACTACTATACACTATATACTACACTATACACTACTATACACTACCTTGCATACTACACTATACTACTATACACTACACTACTATACACTACACTACTATACACTACCCTGTATACTACACTATACACTACACTACTATACACTACACTATACACTACTATACACTACACTAAACACTACACTACTATACACTACACTATACACTACTATACACTACACTATACACTACACTACTATACACTACACTATAATACTATACACTATACTACTCAACACTACACTACTATACACTATATACTACACTACACTATACACTACACTACTATACACTATATACTACACTACTATACACTACAGCGAGGGAAAAAAGTATTTGATCCCCTGCTGATTTTGTACGTTTGCCCACTAACAAAGAAATGGTCAGTCTATAATTGTAACGGTAGGTTTATTTGAACAGTGAGAGACAGAATAACAACAACAAAATCCAGAGAAACGCATGTCAAAATGTTATAGATTGATTTACATTTTAATGAGGGAATTAAGTATTTGACAGAAGCATCGACAATTAAATGATTATTACTTAGTAGCAACCTGACACGTGATCTTTAAATATAAGACTATGATGATGAGTATTTACAGTTCTACACATTGACGTTGCACTATAAAACTAAACGCACGATATTAGACAGTATTACCCGATAAATAAACTATGTACATCGAGATATATATATGTGTGTGTGTATGTGTAGTGTCGTGTACTCCAATGTTAAAGTGTCTACCCATAGACTTCAATGTTAAAGTGTCTAGCCATAGACTCCAATGTTAAAGTGTCTACCCATAGACTCCAATGTTAAAGTGTCTACCCAAGACTCCAATGTTAAAGTGTCTACCCATAGACTTCAATGTTAAAGTGTCTACCCATATACTCCAATGTTAAAGTCTCTAGCCATAGACTCCAATGTTAAAGTCTCTACCCATAGACTCCAATGTTAAAGTGTCTACCCATAGACTTCAATGTTAAAGTGTCTACCCATAGACTCCAATGTTAAAGTGTCTACCCATAGACTCCAATGTTAAAGTGTCTACCCAAGACTCCAATGTTAAAGTGTCTACCCATAGACTTCAATGTTAAAGTGTCTACCCATATACTCCAATGTTAAAGTCTCTAGCCATAGACTCCAATGTTAAAGTCTCTACCATAGACTCCAATGTTAAAGTGTCTACCCATAGACTTCAATGTTAAAGTGTCTACCCATAGACTCCAATGTTAAAGTATCTACCCATAGACTCCAATGTTAAAGTCTCTACCCATAGACTTCAATGTTAAAGTCTCTACCCATAGACTTCAATGTTAAAGTGTCTACCCATAGACTTCAATGTTAAAGTGTCTACCCATAGACTTCAATGTTAAAGTCTCTAGCCCATAGACTTCAATGTTAAAGTGTCTACCCATAGACTCCAATGTTAAAGTCTCTACCCATAGACTTCAATGTTAAAGTCTCCCATAGACTCCAATGTTAAAGTCTCTACCCATAGACTCCAATGTTAAAGTGTCTACCCATAGACTTCAATGTTAAAGTGTCTACCCATAGACTTCAATGTTAAAGTGTCTACCCATAGACTCCAATGTTAAAGTGTCTACCCATAGACTTCAATGTTAAAGTGTCTACCCATAGACTCCAATGTTAAAGTGTCTACCCATAGACTCCAATGTTAAAGTGTCTACCCATAGACTTCAATGTTAAAGTCTCTACCCATAGACTTCAATGTTAAAGTCTCTTCCCATAGACTCCAATGTTAAAGTGTCTACCCATAGACTCCAATGTTAAAGTGTCTACCCATAGACTTCAATGTTAAAGTGTCTACCCATAGACTTCAATGTTAAAGTCTCTACCCATAGACTCCAATGTCAAAGTGTCTACCCATAGACTTCAATGTTAAAGTCTACCCATAGACTCCAATGTTAAAGTGTCTACCCATAGACTCCAATGTTAAAGTCTCTACCCATAGACTCTAATGTTAAAGTGTCTACCCATAGACTTCAATGTTAAAGTCTCTACCCATAGACTCCAATGTTAAAGTGTCTACCCATAGACTTCAATGTTAAAGTCTCTACCCACAGACTCCAATGTTAAAGTGTCTACCCATAGACTTCAATGTTAAAGTGTCGATCCATAGACTCCAATGTTAAAGTGTCTACCCATAGACTCCAATGTTAAAGTCTCCCATAGACTCCAATGTTAAAGTGTCTACCCATAGACTCCAATGTTAAAGTGTCTACCCATAGACTCCAATGTTAAAGTGTCTACCCATAGACTCCAACGTTTAAAGTCTCTACCCATAGTCTCCAATGTTAAAGTCTCCCATAGACTCCAATGTTAAAGTCTCTACCCATAAACTCCAATGTTAAAGTGTCTACCCATAGACTCCAATGTTAAAGTGTCTACCCATAGACTCCAATGTTAAAGTGTCTACACATAGACTCCAATGTTAAAGTCTCTACCCATAGACTCCAATGTTAAAGTGTCTATCCATAGACTCCAATGTTAAAGTCTCTACCCATAGATTCCAATGTTAAAGTCCCCCATAGACTCCAATGTTAAAGTGTCTACCCATAGACTCCAATGTTAAAGTGTCTACCCATAGACTCCAATGTTAAAGTCTCTACCCATAGACTCCAATGTTAAAGTCTCCCATAGACTCCAATATTAAAGTCTCTTACCCATAGACTCCAATGTTAAAGTGTCTACCCATAGACTCCAATTGTTAAAGTCTCTACCCATAGACTCCAATGTTAAAGTCTCTACCCACGGACTCCAATGTTAAAGTGTCTACCCATAGACTTCAATGTTAAAGTCTCCCATAGACTTCAATGTTAAAGTCTCTACCCATAGACTTCAATGTTAATGTGTCTACCCATAGACTCCAATGTTAAAGTCTCTACCCATAGACTCCAATGTTAAAGTCTCTACCCATAGACTCCAATGTTAAAGTCTCTACCCATAGACTCCAATGTTAAAGTGTCTACCCATAGACTTCAATGTTAAAGTGTCTACCCATAGACTTCAATGTTAAAATGTCTACCCATAGACTTCAATGTTAAAGTCTCCCATAGACTTCAATGTTAAAGTGTCTACCCATAGACTCCAATGTTAAAGTCTCTACCCATAGACTCCAATGTTAAAGTTTCCCATAGACTCCAATATTAAAGTCTCTTACCCATAGACTCCAATGTTAAAGTGTCTACCCATAGACTCCAATTGTTAAAGTCTCTACCCATAAACTCCAATGTTAAAGTCTCTACCCACAGACTCCAATGTTAAAGTGTCTACCCATAGACTTCAATGTTAAAGTCTCCCATAGACTTCAATGTTAAAGTCTCTACCCATAGACTTCAATGTTAAAGTCTCTACCCATAGACTCCAATGTTAAAGTCTCTACCCATAGACTCCAATGTTAAAGTCTCTACCCATAGACTCCAATGTTAAAGTCTCCCATAGACTTCAATGTTAAAGTGTCTACCCATAGACTTCAATGTTAAAGTCTCCCATAGACTTCAATGTTAAAGTCTCTACCCATAGACTCCAATGTTAAAGTGTCTACCCATAGACTCCAATGTTAAAGTCTCTACCCATAGACTCCAATGTTAAAGTGTCTACCCATAGACTTCAATGTTAAAGTGTCTACCCATAGACTTCAATGTTAAAGTGTCTACCCATAGACTTCAATGTTAAAGTCTCCCATAGACTTCAATGTTAAAGTGTCTACCCATAGACTTCAATGTTAAAGTCTCTACCCATAGACTTCAATGTTAAAGTCTCTACCCATAGACTTCAATGTTAAAGTGTCTACCCATAGACTTCAATGTTAAAGTCTCTACCCATAGACTTCAATGTTAAAGTCTCTACCCATAGACTTCAATGTTAAAGTGTCTACCCATAGACTTCAATGTTAAAGTCTCTACCCATAGACTTCAATGTTAAAGTCTCTACCCATAGACTTCAATGTTAAAGTCTCTACCCATAGACTTCAATGTTAAAGTGTCTACCCATAGACTTCAATGTTAAAGTCTCTACCCATAGACTTCAATGTTAAAGTCTCTACCCATAGACTTCAATGTTAAAGTCTCTACCCATAGACTTCAATGTTAAAGTCTCTACCCATAGACTTCAATGTTAAAGTCTCTACCCATAGACTTCAATGTTAAAGTCTCTACCCACAGACTCCAATGTTAAACGTCTCCCATAGACTCCAACTCATCGGCTTTGCCTGCATCCCTCCACGGATGTTCGTCTTCGGTGGGGGCATAAGTAACCACGACCACCACTCCTCGCCTCCGGTTGATGGGAAGGCGAGCCCAAAGTATCCTGGGGCTTACAGCTTCCCACACCTCACCGCCACGCTTCCACGCCCCCTTCATTCTTTAGTTCAGAAGAAGAGCCACTCCTTGTTGTTGGCAGTCTCCTGCCCCGAGTAGAGGACTGTCCACCCCTCATGGTGGCAGGAGCCAGAGCCGGTCCACCGGACCTCCTGAATGCCACAGAGATCCAGGCGGTACCGGTCCAGCTCCCGACAGAGGAGTGGCAGCCTCTCCTCCGCAGTGAGCGTTCGAACATTCCACGTGGCCACACGAAGTAGCTTTTCGTTGTTTCTGGAGGAGCCCCGAGGGTGAAGATTCAATCTCCTGGCTCCACCAATTGGGGTTTGGCCAGGAGACGTCATGGACGCCTGTCCCCCCGGGGCCTCCGGCACAAGCTCAAGGCGGATATTTGTTTCGTGACTTCGTGTGAATGAATTTAGGGTGGAGGGGGTCACCAGCCCCCCGCAAACCGGCCAGTCCCTTTGGCCGCTGCGGTGGCTACAACACCACTAGGGGAATGGCCGATGGACATTGACCCTCCCCCTACAGCACTGCCCACCACAGCGTTGACTCTCACACACGCACCGACACACACTCGTACACATTCACACACACTCAGCGACACTCACTCTCTCACTCACTCTCACACACTCTCACACACACTCACACACACTCAGCAACACTCACACACAATCACACTCTCACAAACACACCGACACATACTCACACAATCACACATGCTCTCACTCTCACACACTCGTACACATTCACACACACTCAGCGACACTCACTCTCTCACTCACTCTCTCACTCACTCTCACACACTCTCACACACACTCACACACACTCAGCAACACTCACAAACAATCACACTCTCACACACACACCGACACATACTCACACAATCACACATGCTCTCACTCTCACACACTCGTACACATTCACACACACTCAGCGACACTCACACTCTCACACACTCAGCGACACTCACACTCTCACACACACACTCACTCTCTCTCTCACTCACACTCTCACACAAACTCTCACACTCTGCGACACTCACACACTCTAACACTCACACAATCCACACACCACACACACACTCACACACACACTCACACACACACACTCACACACACACTCACACACACACTCTCACACACACTCACACACACTCACATTCTCACACACTCACACACACTCTCACACACACACTCACACACTCACACACTCATACACTCACACACTCACATACACTCACACCACACACTCACACACTCTAACACTCACACAATCCACACACCACACACACTCTCACACACACACTCATACACTCACACTCACACACTCACACACACTCACACACACTCTCACACACTCATACACTCACACACACACTCACACACTCATACACTCACACACTCACTCACACCACACAATCACACACTCACACACACTCACACACTCACACACCCATACACTCACACACTCACACACTCACACACTCATACACTCACACACACACTCACACACTCACACACACTCACACACACTCACACACTCACACACTCACACACACACACAATCACACACTCTCACACACACTCACACACACACACTCACACACTCACACACTCACACACACTCACACACCACACACTCACACACACTCACACACACACTCACACACTCATACACTCACACACACACTCATACACTCACACACACTCACACTCACACACACTCACACACCTCACACACTCACACACACTCACACACACACACACAATCACACACTCACACACACTCACACACACTCACACACACACACTCACACACTCACACACACTCACACACCACACACTCACACACACTCACACACTCACACACACTCACACACTCACACACACTCACACACTCACACACCACACACTCACACACTCACACACACTCACACACTCACTCACACCACACAATCACATACTCTAACACTCACACACACACTCACACACACTCACACACTCACACACACTCTCACACACTCACACACACACTCACACACTCACACACACACTCACACACTCACACACATACACACGCACTCACACACTCACACTCACACACTCACACACACTCACACACACTCACACACACTCACACACACTCACACACACTCACACACACTCACACACACTCACACACACTCACACACTCACACACACTCACACACACTCACACACACTCACACACACTCACGCAGTGAAACTCCATCCACTATCCGTGGCCGTGGTGGTGTTTGGGGTTTGGTTTTTAATGAACATAATAGGACAACAGTTTAAATACAAAAACAACCCTCCCCCCCTCCCCCCCCCCAATCAGCCACGGTGGCACGATCCCAAATCATCGTCATCATCATCATCATCACCCCAAATCACGATCCCAAATCACAATCCCAAATCCCGCAAGCGAGCAGGCGAGCACGCGGGCTGCTGTACATCTATAATACACTCCCCAACACCAGCACCACCAGCACCACCAGCACCACCAGCACCAGCAGCACCACCAGCACCACCAGCACCACCAGCACCAGCAGCACCACCAGCACCAGCAGCACCACCAGCACCACCAGCACCACCAGCACCAGCAGCACCACCAGCACCACCAGCACCACCAGCACCACCAGCACCACCAGCACCAGCACCACCAGCACCACCAGCACCACCAGCACCAGCAGCACCACCAGCTCCAAGCAATGAGCGGCGTGGAGGGACATCTACTCCCTCTCTCTCATCTCATCTCTCTCATCTCCGACTGTCTGTCTGTCTATCTGTGTCTCACTGTCTGTCTATCTGTCTGTCTGTGTCTCACTGTCTCTGTCTACTCCCTCTCTCTCATCTCATCTCTCTCATCTCCGACTGTCTGTCTGTGTCTCACTGTCTCTGTCTGTCTGTGTCTCTCATCTCATCTCTCTCATCTCTGACTGTCTGTCTGTCTATCCGTCTGTCTGTCTATCTGTCTGTCTGTGTCTCACTGTCTGTCTGTCTCTCTCTGTCTGTCTGTCTGTCTCACTGTCTCTGTCTATCTCTCTGTCTATCTGTCTGTCTATCTGTTTCTCACTGTCTCTGTCTGTCTGTCTGTATCTGTCTGTCTGTGTCTCACTGTCTCTGTCTGTCTGTCTCTCTCTGTCTGTCTCTCATCTCACACATCTCAATCTGTCTGTCTCTCATCTCTGTCTGTCTGTCTGTCTCTCTCTCTCTCTCTGTCTCTCATCTCTGTCTGTCTGTCTCTGTCACTTCTCTCTGTCTCTCTCTCTCTGTCTCTCATCTCTCTCTGTCTGTCTCTATCTGTCTGCCTGTCTGTCTCTCTGTCTCTCATCTCTCCCTGTCTCTCTCTCTCTGTCTGTCTGTCTCTCTGTCTCTCATCTCTATCTGTCTCTCTGTCTGTCACTTCTCTGTCTCTCATCTCTCTCTGTCTCTCACTTCTCTCTGTCTCTCTCTCTCTGTCTGTCTCTCATCTCACTCATCTGTCTATGTCTGTCTCTCATCTCTGTCTCTCTCTCCTCTCTCTCTGCATCTCTAAGTCTCTCTATATACACACCGCACAATGTAAGAACAACAACGAGCAGAAGAAGCTAAGAAACGCAACTGTGTATCGACTGGACATCGATCAATCATCATCATCAATAATAATGGGTTAGTAGCAGTAGTTAGTAAGTAGTTAGAAAAAATTCGCGAGGGGAAAAAAACGCGCAGAAGTTAATATCGCCAGTACACTGAGTCACTCAGTGGGCGGGCGAGTGGGTGGGTGAGTGGGAGGGCGAGTGGGTGGGTGAGTGGGAGGGCGAGTGGGTGGGCGAGTGGGAGGGTGGGCGAGTGGATGGGTGGGCGAGTTGGTGGGTGGGTGGTTGAGTGGGAGGGTGAGTGGGAGGGTGAGTGGGAGGGTGGGCGGGTGGGTGAGCGGGCGGGCGAGTGGGTGGGTGGATGGGTGGGAGGGTGGGTGGGCGAGTGGGTGGGTGGGCGAGTGGGCGAGTGAGCGAGCGAGCGGGCGGGCGAGTGTGTGAGCGAGTGGGTGGGTGGGTGAGTGGGTGGGTGGGCGAGTAGGTGGGTAAGTAAGTAGGTGGGTGGGCGAGTGTGTGAGCGAGTGGGTAGGCGAGTGGGTGGGTGGGTGAGCAATCGATGGTTCGAGTGAGTCGTCAAGCCAATGCTCGATCGACGATCTGCAGACCTCTCTCCCTATCGAGCGGAGCGGTTATTATCGCTGGGGCGGTCCCGACAACAACCACCACCACAACAACCACAACAACCACCACCACCACCACAACAACCACCACCAGGTGGAGGCGGGGGGTAGATGAACAGGTGGTGGTAGTAGTGGGGTGGTTAGTGGGGGGGGGGGAGGGTTAGTAGTGGGGGGGGGAGGGTTAGTGGGGGGTAGTAGTGGTGGTGGTGGTGGGGTGAATGTGTGATCACAGTCGGAGTAGCAGTGACAACAACAACAACAGTCGCATCGCCACCACTCCGCAGGTGTCAGGGACCTCCTCCTCCTCCTTCCTGTCCACCCTTCACTTCCACCCTTACTGTCCACCCTTCCACCCATCAGCACTCACCCCAACCCACATACTCAC